CTGCGGTTCACGGACATCGACTTTCAAATGTGTCTAAAGGAAACGTCCCAGCCTCACGGCCAGCAGACCTGTGTCAAACAGAGTATTTGCCAAAGTCACAGCTAAGAGTCGTTGAGCTCCGACACATGTCACATTCGCTACAGACGCTGGTGCCTTTGTGGCCAGACATCAGAGGAGTTATGACCCGCCATCAACATTTGGCCCAGGATCCTCAGAGCACGACCTCATAAAAGAGGCTTAAAAAAAGAAATGAGGCAACGACACTCACAGACCAGAGCAGCCTGTAAATGCCATTGTTCACGACATGACAGCAGTAGCACATTTCTTTACGTATTGTTGAACTAAAATTACACTCTGACGTACAATTACCGCTGTTGATTTAACAAGGACAAACACGGAAACTTTTAGCAGCTCTAAACACGCAGGGGGAGTTGTTGAGTTTTACAGAGTGGAACAGAACCAACACCTGTGGAGGGAACAACATCCTGGTCAAATGGATGTGACCCAAACCTGGGAGGCTTTGAACTGCTCTGACCTTTGCCCTGACAGTTTACAAATGACTCATCAAAGGCTTCATGCAGCTTTTGTTAGTTAAAAGAAACCAGGGGAAACCTATAGTAACTATAGGTACATATACCTTTTGGTTCCCAAAATGAGGGGCGGACCCCTCCCGATCATCTATACACATAACATTAACAACTACATTCCTTAAGCTGCATTACTGCCCCCTACTGGAGATATATCCACCTAAATTACAATAACATGCAAAAGAGGGGAAAAAAAATCACATAGCCAGCAGAGTTTTAATATTCTGCTTATGGTAACATTTCAGCTTTACTCACTGTGCTACTGGCACACATACAGTGAAAGTAATAAAAGTCCGTGTTCATCTGAAGCTTTAATCAACCTCAGGCACGCGCTGCCCGTCCACTCAGTCGGGCCAAAAGGGTCAGGTTGACTGTTAACTTCTGGTTCCACAGAGTCTGAGCCAAGGCTGCAGGGTCTCAACTGCCACCAGGAGAGGGCGGGGGGGGGGGGGGGGGGTCATTGTCTGTCTGCCCATCCAAGGACGCACGTCAGCTAAATATATGACAAGGTTGTTTTGACAGAGCACATTTTACTTCATCTTCAACTTGAATCTACTACTATTTTCATAGAAGACCGACAGAGTGAAGTGAAGTGAAGTGAAGTGACATCCACAGATAGAAAAGAAGATGAAGACGAGAGGAATTAAAATTGGGGATTTCATTTGAGTTTAAAGGGCCGATGCCAAATTCTGAGTACTGGGACTAATCTGGTAAAACTGGACTTGGTCCTCAACTAATTATAAAGTAAACCAGGCCTGGTGTCACGTGTTAATGTACACTGTAATTTCACATTATTTATTATTTAAATATTACACACATTTTTTTATTTCACATTTTTTTCATATTTTTTTTCATAAACATGCCTTATCACCGGAGAGCAAAAAGCATTCCTAGTTAATAATCATGTCGGCCACATTATTAATTACCCCTTGCTAACGACTCTATATACCCCAGCCTGGGGTAAACAGCTGAAACTGAAGCTAAAACTCTTCCCTCTTATTCTAGAGTTACTTGAGGTAACTCTGCTGACATCACAGTTGAGGTGTACCGTGTGTCAGTCGTCATGTACATATAAGTGATTAATTCTGTGTTTAATTAACATCCTATTGATCTCAGTGAAACAGTAACTTTTCATTGTTAGCATCGACCCAAACAAAACCAAAGAAATGACAGAAAACGTGTTTATAATGTATGTCCAAATAATGGAGCATAAAACTGAAATACTTGTGTAGTAAATCTATGTGGTACACAAACTGAAAATATAATTGGTAACATGAAGTGATGATGATATACATACATGTTTGTCAGGTCGGTCTGCCTCTCTGGTCTGTTTCTCTCTGGGTCGTTAGCTTCATCACACACACCTGTGAGCAGAGCACCGCTGTCCATTAGTCTCACTCTTATCACCTGGTGCCCTGGTATGTGTGTGTGTGTATTTTAACCAGATCTGTTTCTGCTGAAAATACTACAGAGAAGAACTGTACAACATCAGTTTGATTTTGTTATTGAATTAGTGTAATGGTTTATAACGTCCTCTTAAAGATTAAAGATTTTAAAATAAAAATCTGAGTGAAAATGTGTACACAGCCCTTGGTGACCATAGTTAGGGTCCCTTCATTGGTTCCACTGTGGGGCCAGTTTCTGAAGCCCCTCTACTGGCTCCATGGCAGGTCGGGAATATTGAGCCCTCAGTGACAGGGCATATTTACCATACACACATACACGCACACACCACAGGGGTATTAAACTCTATCCCTCAGACAAACACAGGGATCCAGGCTGGGCACACACACAGAGCTATAATGAATGAGATTAGAAACTCCCACAGCAGAAATTGTTTTTAATATCATAACTGTCATCGAGAGATTTTTCTTTTTTCAGTTTGCAACCCCTCGCCACCGCTCCCAGGCTCTGGCTCAGATTTTCAGACTTTAATAGGAGGAAAACTAACAGAGAGCAGAATCGCACGAGCGTGACCGGCAGTGACACCAGCAGATAGATTACAGACGTCATGATCGGCCGACAAGCAAATAATCTAGACGGATGTGAGAAAGCCTTTCGAGTGGCTGGTAGCCAAGGAGCACTTCAGGCCCAGGAGCAGATGGACCTCCATGCAGTGCAGTGAAAAGACAAAATCAATCTGTTGAGAGTTCTCCTTCACTTTTTTTTGTTTCAATTTGGGTTAGTGAGTGATGAACACACGGAGGGGGAAATAAAATGACTTTTTACATTTACGATTCATTTTTGTGGTCACTTAGTGTTGACTGGATGGAGATGGGTGTAGCAGCATGGTAACACCAAACTGGCAGCAGTATGAAGCTCAGCTCCTCCCCAGCCTCCTCATCTATCAGCCTACTTGGCGACAGGCAGCTGGGCATAGCGCTGTTGATGAATAGCAGGCAGAGCAAACAGATCTGCAGTGTGCTGGCAGACCCCCGGCCACAGAGGGATGAGGTGTGCTGTCAGTACCAGGCCAGGTTACTGGGTGACGTTCTCCGACCAATGTCTTTGAGGACAGTGTGGTTCAGCCATAATAAACACAGACACTTGAAGGTGCGACAACATCTAAATTAAGCATTATTTTCTAATGTAGACTTTTGCTAGGCTCGGTACTGAATGTCTGTTTCAGTTTTTGATTTGTAATTCAACTAATTTACCAGTAGGTGAAGATAAAACAGTTTAGAACAAACGCTGTTGATTTATTTTAAGTCAGTTTTTACAGCACACACACAAAAAAACCCCTCAACATTGATGTTCTCCTCTCGTACCTGTACTTCAAACCGTCAGCACCACTGAACTGTTGGACAGCTGCAAGTCTTGGATTGCAACACAAGATCAAGTGATGATATAAAAATATTCTGAGTCACACATGTGATGACAATACACTGACTTAATCCAGTATTCAGGGTGAGTTCAGTGGAGAAAAATAAACCAAAAAATACAAAGAATAATTCTTGATCATTTCCAATTTATTTTAAAGATAATAATAAATAAAATGAATAATGTCATGATAACAAATACTTGTATCACAGTAGTATCATATATTGTAAATCTCAACCGAAGCAAAGGCAGTAAAAAAGGAGGGGTCCCCGAAGTGAGCCTGGTGGAACCTCAGAAATGGAGGATTTACAGGATGATGATATAATGGGATGAAATTAAGACAGAAAAAAACAATGGATGGAATAAACATTTTCCATATCTGGCACAAAGTGCTGGGCCACACCGAAAAAAAAAAAAATCTTTTTCTTTGCCAACCTACTGCAAAAGCCAGTGTTCTACGTATCTGGTTTTTAAAGATAAAACCAATCAAGGCTATTAAGAAAAATAGCATGGTTTTATTTTGTATGTTTAAAAACTGAAACTTTGAACTGAAGGATAAAAAAGCTGGAACAAAGTAATTAATGTCTGACACCAATCAAGAATAAAGTGGTGTTATGTTCACGTGTGAATGACTGTTTTAACGCTCAGCAGTGTAAACATGGTAATGAACGCTCATAAATACCAGGTTGTGGAGAGAAATGAAAACTGAGGTGAGACGACGGGTTCTGTCTATTTTCACCTCAGATGAGTGAATTGTTCCTGAGAGAAGTAGCACAGCTGTGTGTGATGTGAAACAGCGCTTCCGGAAATACTGAAGAATGACAGAGGCTCAAGTAAAATGTCAACATGATTTGTTTTCAGCCTCACGTTATCTTGTCCTAAAATTCAGACTGAAAAAAAATGCAGTGACGTGTAGTTTGTTTTGAAAGGATTCAAATCTCTTAACTCCAGTCTGTGACTATATGTGGAAACACAGTGACACACAGATCATGCTGGGGAGGTCACACACTTTCAGTTCACCACGTTTGCCCCGTTGCATCTGCCCTGGCTCCCTGTAAGTCAACAGGGTCGTCGACATCAGCACGAGGGGCTGTAGTTTGACTCTGACCTTGATGGTGGACAGCTGACGGCCCCGTCACCACTCTGCCCTGACACTGAGGATATGGCTGGTGAGAACATTTGAACAAATATTTAAAAGCCACTGTACTGCCATACAAACAGGGCAGCAGTTGTCTTACAATAAGAGGGTTGTGGGCTCGATTCCAGACTTAGCAGCTTATATGCACCCAACCTCGGTAGTCAGTAAGTAGATGGAAAACCCTTCAATGTGAAGTACTTTCTGTGATCATCACGACCAGTGAAGTGCTATACTACAAGTACAGACCATTTGCCACACAATGAATTACTCTATTGCAGCAAATTCTGGTTTTTGTTTTAACAAACTGTAAAGTAGTTTAATTACAAAAATTGATCTTTTCATATTTTGGAGCCAACAAAAAAGACTTGAGGGCAGTTACAGATTGGGCAACAGTCGTTCAGCACCACCTAGTGGAGCATGGAAATAACAGGGGACACTCATCTCAGTAGCCCCAGTCAGTTTTGTAATTTTTTTATTACATTTGAAGTTTTCCAATGGCATATAAAACAAGAGAAGTTTTAAAAAGTAAGCATATTTAAAGTACATGAGACCACGTGAGAGAGTTAATACCAGACATCACATCCAGAGAGTAAATGCTTAAATGTCAAGGTCATCACATGACCTTAGAAAGAATTGATCAGGAAGCAGTGTACTGCCAAGCTAGACGTATGATCAAATAAAAACTTTCACATGTATGAATCACCAAAAGACAGGAAATAACAAAGTAACACAACGAGTATAAAAAGAAAACAACCTTAACATTGGAGCCATGTGGTTAAACAGAGTTTAACATTTGATTATTAAGTAGAGTGTACAGTTAGGGAAGCACACAAGTAACAGAAACTTTAACTTCCTAAAAGGTGACAACAAATACAAACAAGAGCCTCACAGCTAACCTTTCAAAAATAAGCTTCAGTATTTGGAAATAACTATTTTCTCTCATCTCGTTTTAAAAGTGTTTTTTTTTCTCTAATGTACACAAAAGGACTTTTCAGGGTCCTGATACCATGTTGTGATCGAGGCTTATTCCACAAAGTGGACAAACAGATCTCAGTGAAGAGAAACTTTTCTCTCCCCCAGACCTTCTCAGTAGGTTATTGTGAATGTAAAGTACATTTCTTTAAGAACTGCAGCACAGAAAAACTATGAGAGAAGCTTATAGAAAAAAACAAAACAAAACACCGAATGAAGTGAAGGGTGAAGAAAAAGTATCAACAGCCTCGAGGTGAACAGTTCACAGAACATAAATTGAATCCAGCCTCAAGAGAAAACCGTCTTCAAAAAGACCATCAAAAAGCTGGTAGATGTAGTATATTTGACCCCTGGTGCAAATTTACAACAGGCCACATGCTGCGTCTTCAACCATGGGTGGTGTCATCCTCCACAAAGTCTTTGGCCTGCTCTGCTGTGATCACATCGATGTGGCTCACCTGACAACAACAACATAGACAGACAAGAAACAATTAGCACCTCTATTTAAGTTGGTATGACTAAACAATGCACAGGGTGGGGGGAGCAGAGGGGGCATTGAGGTAAACACATAGAAGGTTTCCAGCAGCTGATGAGAACAGTTCTGTTGATACTGTAGGTATTTCACAACTTTTCAGATTTAATTTGAAATTACAAATGGACCATACCTTGTTTCTGAACTTGACTCCATAAAACTTGTCAGCAGACTCCAGCAGCTCAGGTCTGAAGGTGGTGGTGATGAACTGGGCATGTCCAGCCAACTCAACAATCATGTCTTCAGTGAAGACAACACATTTCATTAAGCATTTCTGAGTCTGATTTAAAGCATATTATAATACAAAAATACATATATGCTTTTATTTTACCTGAGACAGCTTTTCTGTGCTGGGCATCGAGAGCTTGGTCAATCTCATCAAACAGGTAAAAAGGGGCAGGATCACACTTCTGAATGGCAAATATCAGAGCCAGAGCCACCAGAGACTTCTGACCTCCAGACAGCTGCTGCATCTCCCTCATCTCACCCTGCTTCCCTGTGAAGGACACCTGTGTCAGAGACAATGAAAAGATTAGACAACTGTGGTCAAACACAGTAAGGTTCACAAAGCACTGGTGATAAATCCCGAGCTCTGTAGGTTTCCATGCTGATGTGTGCCTGTAAAAGACCAAGTATTAGCATAGAGTGAACGGTGAAGATTTGAAAGGCACTGACATATAGGTTAAAAAACAAAACAAAAAAGTCTGATCTATGTTCAAAATAAAACTATTCATACCATGTGATCAGAACAAATAGAAGTATAAAGGGCTTTGAGTTGTTATCAACTATACTAATCTGGTGGAAAACAAAACTCACTGCTTCTGTATCATTTTTTATATCCTAGATCAAAATCTCAACAACTTTTTACCCTAATGCCGACACCGGTGAACTGGTCCACTGATGGAACACTGCTCTGTGAGCCAGAGCCCCTCTCACTGTCAACTCCACTCTCACTCTCGTCCTGTGATTGGCTGCCTTCGACATCACCCTTTTTCATCACCAGTGTAGCTTTGCCGCCTGGTACCAGCTTCTGGAAAACTTCACTGAAGTTCTTTGACACCTGAAACAGTGAAATGTGCCCAAAGGTTTGAAAAACGGTAGCATTTAGCTATTGACGATGAGGAAAATGTGGCCCATCACATGTGCAGCCAATTCCAAGGCTGTGTCTCGCCCCGTACCTGTTTGAAGGTGAGCTGAATGGCTTCATACTTCCGTAACTCCAGGACATTCATGAGCTCCATGATGGATTTGTAGCCACGGTCCAACTCATCCTGACGTTTGATGAGTTTTTCCTTCTGCTCTGAGAAGTTAACAAATTGGTCCAGAGCTTTCTTGTTGACGTGACTGTACTTCTTCAACTCTGTGTTGCACTGCTCCAGCTTTCTGAACAGCTGTTAAAAAAACACAGTCAATAATTAATAAATACTAAAATTGCATCCTTCTCTGTCAGTCCAGTGTTTGCCTTGTCAACACTGTCACTGTACTGTGAAACATTAAAGCTTTATTTATATATCAATACTCAGTTATTTTATGTATTTACATTATTGTTTTCACACTCACTTGCTGGTGAATAATCTGCTTTTCATTTAAGTCTATATTTTACTGTTTTATTATTTTCTCTTCTACTCCTTTTTGTATTTGTGGTGGAGAGACGTCAATCCTAATTTCGTTATGTATGTATAATGACAATGAAGTCTATTCTGACTCAGTGTCTGACTCCTGTTTAGCAAGCTTCTACCCTACGGCCAAGAGTGTTGGATTAAATGCGCAGGTGTCTGTCAAAAGCTGAGAATCTGACTCACTGCTTCTCCCCCCCTTCTTTGTTTTTTTTTTTTTAGACAAAAATACTAATTACAATTTGCCAAAAAAAGGTTGACTCAAGCATCTTATGCACTTCATTAAAGTTTCTAAAAATGGACATTTTACCAAATCTTCTAGTATAAGTAAACATCCAAGCACAACTGTAGGCAACTGTCTGATGACACACTCAGTGTATCGTCTATAATTAATCTGTGAAACTTTGTCACGGTGTTTCCAGTTCCACTGCCTCAAAGATCTTATTTTAGTCAGACGAGTCGTCTTATCGTCACTATTTGCCTCTCTCCACAGTTGTTCAGCTCGTCGTGCCCATCTACATTTTGCAACAGCCAACACATGCACCACATGACAGGTGGAAAAACCGTATATTGGTTTGGTTTCATACTGAGGCTGATTGGTGTTTAAATTTACTGACAATGTAACACTGCACCACTGCATGATGCTGGTGTTGGCTGATAAAAGTTTTTGGAGGCAGCGGACCAAGACATCTGATTATTTAGCACCGTCTGGGTGTTTATGTACCTGTTTGAGAGTGAGGGTCTGGTACTTCTCAAAAGCCTCCTGAGGAAGTGAGCCCAGCTCTCTAATCTTCTTCATGCACTCCTCTTTCTTCTTCAGCAGCATGCCTTGTCTGTTGGTCATTTTCTCCAGCTCCTTGGTGTCATGGTTGATGGCATCATTCTGCTCCTTCTCAATGTTCTTCCAGCGTTCCATGCTCTTTATGTGGTCTTTGATCTCTGCCTCTGTCTTGTCAATCATGCAATCAAGTTCTGTGGAAAATAACGAAGGTAGATGTGGAAACAGAAGAGCAGGTCTATTCATCTAACAGTCTTTAACAGACAGGTTCTTTTTAATAACATACATTTTCCAAATACAATTAAACTGTTTGATCCAACAGACTTTGACCAACCTACTAACACAGACACAATTTAACCCATAAAATAAATAACAGGAAAATCATGAATGTGTTTGTTTACAGAACCAATAAGTTATAATGCAGAACCAAAAAGGAAAATTATTTAGTAACACATTGTCAGTGTAAACAGTTGCTGTTAAATAAAAATGTAAACTTCAATATAGTGTATTGGTTTATTTAAAATGGAGTTCAAACAAAAACAAAAAATCCCAATTTTTTTTAGTTATAATAGCTACTGATGCAAAAAGTATTTGGCGGAGTACAAAAATATTGATAATCTAGTAAAAACTGAAATGCTAGAGCAACGTTTTTTTTTTCAGAACCTTTGTTCTATATTATTATAACACGTACCATCTGATCGAGCCAAAGTCTCTTTGACTCGTTTGTTGATGCCGTCAAGCTCTGATGTTGTGGCTGTGAGAACTGTGCCTCCCTCTGTCTCTCGCAGCTCATTTAACTCCTAAATCAGGTCACAAAGAAAGTGTCACGTAAATTTCACTTATGCTGTCTTTTAATGATAAAATATGAATTTACATTAATCTTATTAAACAAACACTGTTTGTATATATAAATATATACATGTATAAATAAAAACATTTTGTTGTAGATTCTGTAAAGAGTTTTAAGGAACATCATACCTGCTCTACTTGGTCAAGACGTTTCCTTAAATTTTCATTGAGGTATGTTTCCACTCTGGTCATGATGCCCTCAAGCTTAATCCTCTCATTCAGCAGCTGTCTGTTGTCCTGTGGTGTAAGGGGGAAAAGTTAAGATGTTTTGTTAAAAAAAACAAAAAACAAGTTATATAAATACTGGCATTAACAAGATGCCTGCAATAGCACTTGGCAAGGATATTATTTGGGAAGCCAAAGCCTACTCCACCAGTAACTCGTTGGTTCTTTTGTTGTTAACAAACAGGCTGTTCAAGATAACGAAACATTAGAACACAACCAAAAAACAGGACACCTGTGACTGAATGTACTGTCCATATGTTATGTTATGGAAACAATCAAAAAAGAAAAGGAACAACAGCATCCATCCGATACCATTATGGGCTAAATTGGCATGGGAAGAGAGAACACTGCATCAAAGGAACATCCCACACACAGCTGCTCGTCTCAGCCACTCGATAATTAAAATACACAGACAGAAGGCAGAGAACAAGGGGGGAATAAAACACAAGACCACAGAATGTTGGCCATTTTCCTCTGCTCTACCAAAGTTATTCATAGTTTTTTTAAATCAAGTTTTTTTATTATATTCTATTCCATGTAGTATGGTTGAAGATAACTGTAAAGTTTCATGACTTCCTGATACAGGTTAACTATTATTATACAGGTTAAATATTTAATATTCTGTTTTAGAGAGTAACAAAATCTGCAACAACACTTTTTACTCAAAACATTACATAATTTGCAATCCAACAACAATCTGACTCTGAGACAACACCTTTAAATAAGTAATTATTTGATGCTAATTTTAATTAAATTCCATTTTCCACAAGCCAATCTCAATAATCTGTATAAATGATAGATAATTATGTAGCTTACGCATGACCACAAAGTGTATTAACACAGAACATTGAGCATATTCTGCCATGTATGCCTCTGACCTGCTGCAGCTGACGAATCTCATCATTGAGGTCATCAACTCTCCTCTGGTCCTCCAGGCTGAGCTGAGAAAGTAGATCTGTTCCCAGCTCGGCCTTCAGTGACTCCCTGGTTGATTCCATAGCATGCAGACTTGCCTCTAGACTTTGGAGACTACGTTGCTGAGAGTTAGGTAAATTAAAAAAAAAGATATTAGTGGATGAGACATGAGGTAAATGCTTGACTGGGGGTCACTTTGAAAGGACCTTGGGAACATTAATCACCTTAGGCATAAATGTTTTCTCCGACTGCTGCCTCTTTTCCTTCAGCATTTTCATCTCAGACAGAATACTGTCTCTGGACGCCTTGAACTTCCTCTGCTGCGTTTCAATCTGCTGCATCTGGTTCATCAGTTGGTCGATTTCATTGTTGATACGTGAGTGCAGCCATTAAGGAAGTACAACGCCAAGGTTGAATATGATAATAATGATTTTCTTCTCTATAACGCTGCTTGTTTTTTTAATTGTCCAGGAGACAATATTTGGGTTTATCTGTTTCAACCTGACCTGTTAAGCAACATAAAGTAGTAAATCTCTCCCATTCTTTAAGGCATAGTATAGATGTGTAGGATAAGCTTGGTTGAACATAATCTGGTTTACCTATACAAGATTCCACACAAAGAGTACATCATTACTGACTTCACAGTAATAGCTGGCTGTGAACATCAGTGAGCTAAACATTAGCTATATTGATCCACTGGAACAGCAAAGTGTATCTGCACCTCTAAGGTTTGACCGGAATCAATAAAACAAGCAGTTAATCATTCAGCTGATTTAAAAGGCTACTAGAAGCAACGTCACGTCCTGGCTGCACAGGTCAAATTGATCTAAGGTTCATTTTCTTGAATGAAATCACATAACAGGGTCTTACAACACGTTCATTTTCTGAAGACTAGATGAGAGGTGTATTGTGTCTTGTCATCAAAACTGTAATAGATTATTTTGCATATTAATTTAAATGCAAATTAATTAAAATTAATTAGTGTTATATATTCTCAGAATTAAATTTTCACTTTCTTGTAAAAAGTGGAGAGACAATAGATTGGGCAACAGTACCTGGGAGCATAGGCTATGCGGCCACTTCAAAACCTAATTTTGTCCCGTTATATACATATTTAAGCACAAGCTGCAAACCCTTCTCTGCATACACGTTGCTGTTGTTAAATGAAAGTGGACAGACAATAACACAGGTGTGCAAACACAAAGCAAACTGGCTCAGGAAAAACAGGCTATTTTCATAGACATGTCCATGTAGACAATTCCCTCTGTTCTGGCCGCTTTGCTTTCATCGTCCGCCAGGCACCGAGTCATGGCTGAAGTGACGTACAGTTTTTGTGACCTGATAAGACATATCTAATTCACCCTTCTTAGCTTAGCTAAAGATAAACTTGTACTTAAAGCAAGCAGACCTATGGGTTTTTTTTAACTCAATTTCAAGATGACTGTGTTTAGTAGAATAAAAGAAGTAGTCCAAGAAGTTTAGGATTGTGTCAACTACACCATTTTTACCGTTTCACCCTAAAGGATATGTTCTATGTTTCTACGCAGGTTTTCATTGAGCTTAGCCTCCAGTTCCCCCAGTTCCTCCTCAGCTTTCCTCATATCTTTTTGCAGCTCCAGACGAGACTTTCTGGTGTCATAGTAACCTCCAGTCAGAGCACCACGGTGACTCACCTGGTCACCTACAAGTCACCACATAATGTTAAGCTACATAGTGAGAAACACTGTATTTGAAGTGGAGGTTTGTCAAACACCGTGAATGTAATTGTGCTTACCCTCCAGAGTTATACAGTCCATTGTGAAAGCTCTTGCCAGCTGAGTTGAGACCTCCATGCTACGACAAATCAGAGTCTTCCCGAAAACATGCTTGAAGGCCTTGTCGAAGTTGGAGCTATAACGCAGTTTACTAATCATTGGAATGGCATCCTGAGAACCAGGAAAATTAGGTTATCAAGATGTTATCAAGTAAATGTATAAATGAAGTACAGGTTGTCAAAAGAGAAGTTATAGATGACTGATTTTAAGTGAGGACATCGACCTAAATGCAGCAAAGGTCTGTTTTAAATACATAATTTCTCATCAATCATTTCATGCTATGCTAATTAAAAAGTAAGCACGTCTCTTACATTAGTCTCTGGATAGGCTGTGTCTCTCACATCAAGCTTGCTCAAGGGCAGGAATGTGACTTCACCAGGCAGATTCATTTTGTTGAACTCCATCAGTATTTTGGTGCTGACTTCATCAGTCTCCACAATGTGGTAAAACAGTCTGGAAAATAAAAGAATAGGAATAATCTTGATATAACACAATATATATATAGTGGGAATATATTTGTCAACTAAAGAGAAGCTACTAGTACAAACAAAAACAGTGAAGTCCTCACCTGGTGCCAGCTGTCACCTCCACACAAGTATAAAACGCAGGCTCACATTCAAAATTATTCATAACAATGCCATGATAACCATTGATGACATGCTGGTTAATGCCCTTCCGGCGAAAATGCTCCAGTACTTTGTTGATGCTGTCAATGCCGTTCAAAATGGCCTGGAATCAAACATGAAAACAATAACATAAGTATTTTCCTCTCTTCATTTCATGAGGTAAAGATAGGGGCCCTACTGTAAAGGAGCCATTATTACCATTAATATCCATGTAAAACCTTAAGACTTAAATGCTAATCCAATAAACCACATTCGAATAAATATACAAGTACAATATGTTAAAACGCAGGTTAATTATTATGCAAATAGTAACAGACCTTCCCAGTGGCTGCACGCAGGAGCTGCTGCTTCTTCTCCAGATCCTCACGTTTAGCTGCCAGCGCCTGCTGCTCCGCATTCTCTTCACGCCACAGGTAGCTGGAGAAAAACAGACAGCCACACACTGTTAAACTTCTGTCACCATATATACACACACAAACACCTCACTGTAGCTGTAAAGCTAACAGAATTAAGATCAAGGCTGGAGAAAAAGACAATAGATTTATTTTAAATACCCATCATGCAATTTATATTTTTCACATGAATAATTACTTTTAGGTTTATATTTAGTTTAGGATTCATCAAACACAAAGTATTTCATAAAATGCTCTTGGTGTAACAACACCAATGTTTGGGATATAAGCTGCAGCAATAATCAAATCACGCTATTGTCTAATTTTACAGTTATGGATGATGACATAAAAACACTGAGACAATTAGGGTAATCTAAATTTAAGCATCACGAGAATAGCTAGGAGAGCAGAAGAACAATTCAATCAAGTCAATTTGTTCCATCAACAAAACACTCCAACTCATTATGGTAAATGTTTTGGCCAATATTTTTAGACTTAATTTTTTGAACAGCGTGGAGCTGTGAGATGTGAATGTTGAATTCCTTCTATCAAAGCTTTCATTATACTGCCTGTTCATCCATTTAAATAAGGCAATGAATCACAGCAGATAAAGTAATTAAATGAATTCAACAACCAATTGTCATTTAAATTTGTTGTAAATTATAACCCTGTATTTGTGTAGATTTGACACCACTTTTAACAAGTAACTTTACTAAAGTATGTTAAGTAAATATTATTTTTTGTTATCTTTTCTGTGTAACTTTTGGCAGAACAAAGCCAAATAAAATATTAACATTAAACATTTGAATATAAAATACACTTTGAAAGGTTCCTACTTTCTTTCACTCTGCAGCTCATCTTTCTTGTTCTTCACTTCGTAGTATTTTTTGTCCAGCTCCTCTACTCGTGTCTTCACCTCGTTAAGATCTTGGTCAAGTTTCTAAAAACAGGCAAAATAGACACAGTCAAACAGAACCAATAATTTCCCTTCAATGTGACAGGTTGCTACAATATTTTTGCTACATTTAGCATTGACAATGTGTTTATGCAAATACTTCAGGGACAGGGTTTTTTACCTGTCTAATCCTCAAAAGTATTTTTAAGAATATTGTCCAGGATGCTACAGCAAATCAGACAGATTATCCTGTCAGTTGTGCTTTGCCGTTTTCCAAGATTGAAAAACAGCAGCAGCTGTTTTTTAAGGACTACTTTCTTTTTTTTTTTTTTTAAATGTAGCCAAATCAAAGACGCAGGTGCAATTAATCACCATTACTGAAACAGTAAAGGCTGTATATAGGACTAGTTGTGAACCACAGTGTAGGGCAGTTTTATATTATATATTTATTTCAATTGATTTAAAAAAAAAATATATATATATATTCTCACACTGTACTGCTCCAAGTTCTTCTCTTTATTAGTCTCAGTGTCTTCCAGGTCTTTATGAATAGCTGCAATTTGTCTCTTTTTATCATTTATGGCCTGGTCCAGGGATTTTAACTCCTTTTTAATCCACTTGTCCCTCTCCTCCTTAGAAGTGAACTGGCTACCACGTCCTTGCTTGGCATAAAGATCTGTCCGCTCCTGAGTGGCCTGGGCCAGCCTTAAAAGAGAGAAGAATGACATGTTACTAAATAACATATACAGAATTAATAGGACAAACTAAAACAACTCAAAAGGCTGCATAGAAACAACCCTGAATAAAAAATATAATAATATAATGAAAAATGAGTTGAAGGATTCACAAATACAGTCCAAACTGGCAGCAAATGGGTCAGTAAACATTTCAGTGTTTTATTTTAGTATCCACTTTTATACTATAAAGAAACCCAAAGGTAAAAACACATCAACTGTGGCTCTTGATTGAATATCAAAATACTTAATAACTATAAGGATTTGCTCATGAAAACAATATATGATAGGTCACCAGCTGCCTGGAGCAGGGTTGTTGAGAATGAATGAATAATCTTTTACCTAGAAATTCCCCGCTCCTCTTTTTCTTTCACCATGTTAAACTTTGGCTCGGTCTCCTGCAGTTCCTTTTGCTTCTCTTCAATTTTTTCCAGAAGCTTCTGGCGTTCCTTAAGCAGACGTTTCTAAGAAAAAGAAAGTCTCGTGAAATTTAGAGAAGATTCAAAGAATACAGTAGAAGCACAAATATAAATAGTACTTATAATTCACTCAAGGCCTGTGGGCATTTCTTTTAAATCATGGATACCAAACATTTTGTCCTATGGGACCATGCAGAGATGACAACCTAACTAATAAAAAAAATAATGATCTTTACATGAATGTCCTGTTTAATTCCTTCAATTAACAGGTTACACAAAAGTTTTCTTTAGTGTAAGAGTTATTGTCATAACAGGTAATTATAAAACATTTATGAAACATTTTATTCCCATTGACACTCACTGGTTCCCTTTTCAGTTTAACAACTTTCAAATTTAAGTAATTCACTACTGGAACGAGGAACTTAATAAACATTAGGTTCCTGTATACCCAGCTTGTTGACAAATAAAAGCTAGTACAATAATTCTGCATTACAAAAAAAATATATCTGTAGTGACTAGAAATAAGTGCAGTTGGTAATGAGTGATAGCAAGAAGGTATTTTGCCTACATACTCAAGGGCAAAAGGTTTTTTTGACAAACAAAAATCTCTGTTTTGTCGCCTGACAAACAACTTATTTTCTCAAACTATACAAACACCCTCACAAATTCAAACTCCAGTAATGCTACATCAGGACAAAAAATTGTACCTGGAATGGCATAAAAGCTCTGATATACTAACTAGTGCTCATTAGTTCATTTTTTTTTTTTCATAAAATAGACCCTGTAATAGTGAAATCTGTGTGCCCTAATGTGTGAAGCCAGAATGTTCATCTTTACATAAAGGAATGACACACGGACTGGGAGGAGGTGGTGTAGGTGCAACATCACGTGTGCAGCGTGACGCACATGGGATGCTTTCATACCCTCTGCTCGCTATTGCCTGCCAGCTCATCCTGCAGGTCCTTGGCCTTCAGCTCAAGCTTAGTCCTCTGCTTTATCTGCTCCTGGCGTTCTGCCGAAAGCTGCTCTCTTTCTTCCTTCATGGCAGAGATTTTGGACTTCAGCTCTCGAACAACACGCTCTGTCTCCTACAAAGAAAAAGAATATTGAGTGTCACTACTATTTGCCTTTAAAACGTTTTGATCACTGGCAAAGTTTGTTTTTTTTTTTAATTTTTCAAAACCCATCTTAAAACTTCATGATCTTCCCTGGTATTTTAGAGTAGAGTAGAGTAGGGCTTTATTCAAAGGTATGTTCTTTTCTAAGAACATAGAATGTACAATACTTGATATTACAACCAGTTAGTATGGTAGGACCAGAAAATGATCACTTTAAATATCATTTATAATACTGGCCAATAAGAATGTGCTTTTGGCAGATAATTGTGGAAAAACACCATAAAGTTTTATACCTCTACTTTGTCTCTAGCATCTTGCTGAGCATCTCGCAGCTGTCTGGATTTATCTCCGCAGGTCTCTCTCTTTGAGGACAACTGTGGAAAGACAAAACAAAGACAAAGGCATGCACAAAGATAAATATATAGGCACAGAAACAGATTGACCAAACGTAATCTACATTAACAACAGGAAATCATTAAAAACAGTTTGTGAATGTACCATAACTACACATGCCAAAACATAAACTGCAAGTGACAAAATGACAGTCACAAATGATAAGAGTCTAGAGTATTTTTTCTTTTAGGGTGGTTAAATTCTAACTGGTTTCTTGTGGATATTCTAATTCCTGCAGGTTTACCTCATCTAGTTTAGCACGGGTCTCGTTCAGCTCCTGGTTGTAGATGGTGTACTCCAAGGCTCTTCGCATTTTATCCCACTTCTGGTACTGAGCCAGCTCCTCCTTCTCATCTTCCAGGGTGTGCAGACGCTCCTCAATGTACTTTAGCAGCTCGTTGATCTTCTCTCGCTTCCCCTCTGGTTATTTAACAAAGTTTAACAAAGTTTGTTTGTTTAAAAAAAAACCCTCAACATTACTCAATCATAAAATTTAGAAATTTTGAATTTTTATATATATATAAAAAAACAATTGTTACCGGTTTCCTTCATAAGAGAAATACTCTCCTCCTTGCGCTCATCATACACCCGTGTTCCTGCCACCTCACGCAACAACTTGAGTCGCTGAGAATCAGGAGCTGTGGCCATTTGGTTAATCTAATAAAATAATAATGAAATAATAAAATAGAAAGAATATTACACTTCGGTGTTATATTGTTTTCTTGGCATTAACTTTATGTATATTGCATTAATCAAATCACATATATGATTCAATGGCCATTTTTTGACTCAAATATGACAAGCCAAGACACCAGAATTCCATTCTATCACAAAAGAAAATACAAATTTAAAATCATTTATCTGCTGAATGTCTGGTTTCCTTCTCTCTCACCTTTCCTTGCTTTACAATGTAGTAAGGGTTACTGCGGGAGAAGCCAGCACTCTCCAGAAGATTCATGACATCATTCTTACTGCAAGAATAACAGATGTCAACAAAAAAGTGATTGCACAGACTCACAAACATATCTTTTCATATGACTGTAGGGACAAGGTGAACCATCAAACAACACTTACGTCACCATCTTCTTATCTAAAAAGTACTGGTCCTTCTTGGCACCAATGACTCTGCGAAGAGAGACTTCTTCTTTATCAATCTGAAAGAAAATACATGGATTGATAGTCATGAGGACAACTTCAAAATTAGACAGATATTTAACTACATAACTAAACTTTATGTTCAAAACCCATCTTTGGATATTTAGCTAATTTCTTAGACATTTTATTTTTTAGAATCATTTTCACAACGTTTACTGGGAAATATAATGCAAAGACAATAGTTAATTAGAACAGTGGTATTGAAGAATTAGGAAAGGTATTTCATAAAGGTTAATTGTACAATCAAGAATTATCAAATTTGAGAACAATCATCATAGTGTGAACAAAAACAATGGGAAGTTTGGTCCTTTCCTACCGGCAGTCGGTTGTCAGAGTTGTCAAAAATAATCTCCACAAAAGCAGAAATGACACGAGGACCAGTTCCCTCCTACAGTGACAAAGGAACACATTAACTTCCTACAGCACAAGCTTTATACCTTAAAACAGAACTTTTCTTATTTACATTCCATGCGAATTGTCATTATGAAGTCACTAACAAGCCATTCTTATACAAAGGCACTTTACTGACATGAAGCAGGGCCAGACGTTGTTCAGGTCGCAAGTGGCTGAACTCATCACTGAGCACAAACTGAATGGCTGTAGAAACAAAAAAAACAACATCATCGTTATGAAAGCACAGAAAATGGCCCAAATAGAAAACTGAAAATAGATTTGATAAACACATACCGTAAAAAAAATTACTTTTGCCTGACCCATTTCTTCCAACTGAAACAAGAAAAAACAAAAACATAATCAGGACATGATGATTTTGGTTTACAGTCCCCATTGAGTTATCAGCACATCAACTCAGACTCTTACTGAACCAAAAGCATCAAGAACTGCTTTAACCAAGATCATCTTTTAAACAGCAAACAAGTTGGTCAATCCAGTAGTGAAAAACATAATGGAAAATGTCCAGAACACATTTTGCTGAGTATTTTAACTCTTTTTTTATGTTTTTTTTTTTATGTTTGGAGAATAAACCTCTTATAAACAAAGGTTCCACTTGTCTGAGCATTAACTCACTATGTTAGTTTATTATTGTTATGTCACCTCTTACTGAATATACAATGACGCTATTCACCTTTGGTTGAGACGAATTTCTGAATGTTTCAGTTTATTTTTTCATACTATAAAAGTTGGATAACAATGTATGAAAAACAGTATCGCCAATATGTGTTTAAACTCGGTGTGTCAACACCAGGTTATAACTTCGACTTCAAATTAACAATATGCAAATTAAGAATATGCAGCCCTAGTTTTCATTTGCAATGTTAAAACGTCAAAAGGAAGCAACACTAACCAATGACATTGTGTTTCGGACTAAATGGATCGACCACAGTTTGATCCCGGTAACTTCGGAATCCCTGGATGATGACCTGTAACAAAAACCAAACACCAAACTCAGCAACATCCTCATGCTTATTGCAGCGTGTACCACGTCCTCAAAGATACAATTACTCATACATGTGTATATGTTACACACACACATTTGCAAAGGGTTCAAATATCCACAATTTTAATATCAATAAACTACGATCATTCAGACTGGTAATACTACTACGAACAGAACCACTCGTTTGTTGCTAGCCCAGCAGAAACAAATAACGTTTCAAACAGCGGGTTCTGTTTCCAGGGCCTTGAATGGTCGTTGACAGATACGCTACGCTTTATTCGTGATTTTCCCTGCTAATGTGTTTACACAATAAGCTGTTGTAGCTTAAGGCTTACCCCCGACAAGGTTTATAGTTAACTGACCTAAATCAAATGCAACTATGTTGTGCAACAAACTAGGGAAGTGTTTTATTTACCATGTAGCATTAGCTTAGCATCAGGGGGCGGGCAATTCAAGATTAACCGGGTGCAGTTAGCTAGCATTAGCAAGGTAACGGGTCGAATTCTTCGTTTGATTTATTTAAAATGGTTTACAAACCGGTGCATTTCGCACGAATTAAATATAACCTGAAATAGCAAAACACGTATATCCAACCATTATTAACCTCAGAGTAGAGACGGTCGGAACCAAAACCAAATATGTTCACTCACCTGCTTTATGTACATGGTGGCGTTAGCAGGACGTCTCCTTAGCTGAATATGGAATTGAACTCCACTTTTCGCGTAACTGGAGAAGTCGGTATCTTTTACAAAAAAAACACACTATATATTGCAAATTGTTGCATTCAAATTAGGCGAAACTCTGTGTTGGGAAATGTAATAACAAGGCAAATGGCGGCAGGGGCGGTATGGAATGGATCATACCAATCCATGATTAAAATATTCGAATTGTCTGTGGTTATCGTATAACAAAACAAGATTAGACTGAGTATATTATAAATCACAATTTCTGTATTTGTACCCTAGCTCGTTGTGCTGTTTTGCTTAAAACGTATTTGACATGTTCGCTCCTTGTTTTTCCTCTCCGTTTTTACAGTTGGTACAGACCAGCTTCCTTTCGTGTCGGCGCCAAACACACACAGCACTGTTTTCCTGCCTGCGGACGTAAAGTGCGATCAACCAAGAGCAGTCTGTCTCATTATTTAGATAAAATAAGATAAAATTGATGTTGTCATGTTGAAAAAATAAATAATTCAACCATTTATGACTTCAATGACTGGTAAGGTTGCGCCAAGTTGACAAAGCATCCTGCCGGTCTTCAGATTAGTGCATCTTTATTTATTTTTAGTTACTCTAGGTGGCAGTGTTCTCTCCTATTTTAATTAGGACGCATTTCCTCTGTTTGTAAGAGTTTCAATAAAAGCCCAGATATAAAAGAAAATTATAACATAACAGCAAGCCAAATTTACTGTAAAAACATTTATTAAACAACAACGACACTGAAAAAGATGACAGTTTTTTTCAAATAAATTACATTAAAATGCATGGCCTTTTTAAATAAGTAAACTAAACTTGTCAACCTAAGGCATGTGTATTGCATTTTATTACTATATTGTGTTATTAAAAATCTGCCATTAGGAAAAAAACATTCAGTAACTAAGGGAAAACCCAGCATTTGTGGGCTTTTCAACATGAAGCAGTTTGAAAACAATCACAAATTATCAAAGTTTGTGTAACCTCTACTAACAAGTACAAAAAACAAAGGTGTCAAAAAACTCAGCATTACCCACTTCCAATACACACAATACGTTTATCTGATCTCCAGCCTACTGATTGTAAGATCAGGCCCACAGATAGCAACTCTTTTTTTCTTTTCAAGTAAGACTACTAGCAGTCACAGTTTATTTTAAGGCAGTGCAGTAATAGGGCTCAGTTTGAACTTGTGGTGGACCACAGACTGAAGGTAAGAGGTAGGGAGGGTAATGATAGACGGCTCAAAGTTTTTGGTGTTGAAGTTGGTTGCAAAGTCATTGGCGAAAAAGGTGGCAGACTCTGGGACACAAGGTGTGGCTGGTTCAGGTGTGGCTGAATGAGTCGGAGCCATAGAGAGAATCTCCGACTCAAACTGCAGCAGCTGACCCATGAAATTGAAGTTGGGTGAGATGACTCCCCTTTGTTGCTTGATGATATCAAAGGCAGCATCCAGTTGCAACTGCTGTGTCCTCATGATGTAAGCCATGCAGATAGTAGGTGAGCGAGATATGCCTGCTTCGCAGTGAACCAAGACTTTCCCTCCTGATTGCTTCACGTGATCTAAAAAGAAAAAATGCAATAGGTCATTGCTAGAAACAGGAAAATGATCAATCTATAGTTCTAAACAGTGGGGGAAAAAGAGAGAGAGAATTTTAAGATATTACATCTGCAACACACAACCCTTTTTCAATCTTTTTATCTATAGTCTCTCCCACTCTCTTGGTCTCTTTTGCTCACATGTAGCCAGGATAGACAAACAGGAACATTAGCCCTACCAGGAAAATAAAAATATACACCCATCCTGTACCAGCTTCAGTTTCGCACATTGAATGAGTCATGGATCACAGCTGTACATGAAACTTCTCCTACGCTATTGTGGGGGCGCTTGGGTTCTGCTGCAAAGTTCATCATGGCACCGAGTTGTGTGTTCTAATTTAGAGCTGCAGCACTGCAACACCATTACCTGCGTGGTCTCATGCAACCACAGTCTTGGTCTCCATAAGCCTCATGAGTCTCCATCGAACCATTTAAAGATTTTTCTATTTTGTTATGTTATTTATGACTTGTAAGATGTCAAAGTATTTTACTATCCGTTGATTCTGCAGTCAAATGTTTCTCTCTACTACTACTATCTACTTTCTTCAGCCCTCTCTCTACATTTATGGAGAACACTTGTGTCTGGTCGTAAGGGCCATAGATAAAACAAAAAGGGACATGAAGAGCAAGGAGGGGTGTTTAGAGCAACATCAGTGGGGGTTCTAGCGTAATGATTGGAAATGAAGTGATAGCAACCCTTTTCATTTAGGAGGTCAGTTCTTTATATTTTCCTTTCATTTACAGGATAGAGTGATTTTCAAGGGGTTATGATTTTTATTAGAAATGCAATGACTTTTACTGTATTCATAGGATTCACTGACTTAAACAAAGTAAGGGGATGTAAACATAACAAACAACATATACACACAACATCAATAAAACCCATTACTGGTCAGCCAAGCTGCTCTTAGGCAAGCTCTGTCCTTGATTACGTTTGGCTATAAATAGGGGCCAGCACATTGTGTACATCCTTTGCTGCAGTCTGTGCTATTATCCTGCGCCCCTCTCCTCTCCCACACACACCCACTCTCCCTCAACAACACATTTGCTGCCCCCCGGCTTCCCTAAGTATACGATTCCCTGTGGTAAACAACTAATAATGGGCTTTCTATTTGTGTCATTCAAACAATTTTTTCCTTCCACCCAACCATCATAAACAACCGCATATGTGTATGTCAGTCAGTCAGCCCCCATCCCCCTCTTCCTCCTTCACTTTTCTGTTAATATGAAGAGCTCACCCACATGTCACACTGGCAGGCCACACCCAGCAAAGTAAGCCTTGAGATTAGCCTAAGAGATGATGACGGCGAGGGAGCTTTTTTGAGTTAAGATGGAAAGAAGGGAGGGGCAAGGGAAGGAGATGGGGAAGTGAGAAAATCTTAAGCGAGCACAGACTGTCTGGATATGTTGATGTGGGGGACGAGGTTAGAGGCAGTCAATCCACAGATTACTGTTAGCTTTTTTTAGCCTTCTATTTGTGAATGGCCACAGATGACCAGCACCATTAAAGGAGTCTATTTGAAGACACTTTTCTGAAATAAACATACCTATGTATAGGCATCTTTAAGTGTTTATAGACACTACGAAAAGACTCAATATACGTTGTGAGTTAAAAGGTTATTTGTAACAACTGTAAACACAAAAGATAATAACTGCAGCATCATGAAAATAACACCATTGGTAAAAGAGCATTCTCTGTCAGAGAACAACAGCCTATGTCAAGTATCTTAAACTTACCAATAAATTCTATGGCCTCCTGGAAGTGGGAGCTAATGTCAGCCATGTGGCTGTCCTCAACCGGGATCCACTTGTAGTTGTAGAGGCCCTTGGTCGGCTGCATGTCTCTGCGTGACACGTTAAGCAAGGCTGTGATGTGAAGGTCACTGAGATAGTCCTGTCTGGAGGCATGGTAGGCACTACCGAGGTAGAGGAAAGGCAGGATCTCTACAGGTTTACCCTGAGAAACAAGATAAAGAAAAGACAAAGACAAAAGAGGGAGACATGAGATGTGTTCTAGAGAGGCTACTTCGTGTAACATTTGAGGAAGACATGACACAGGACAGCAAGTCTTGCTGAAAATATCTTTAATGCACACAAATAGATCTCAGACCCAATCAACAGCACCTGTAGCAGAGTGTAACAGTCAATATGCAGACACAATGTTCCCCATTTTCTCTAGTCAAAATGGATGACGTCCACGGAGTAAAAATAACAATACACCAATGTCAGAACCAAGCACAAACATTCTATTTGGGGAAAGGAGGTCACAGACAAAAGGTCAGAGAATGAAAGATGGTTTTTCTCAATAGGGTGTCTGCTAGCATCCCTCCCCTCTCATTTTGAGCCAAATATAAATGCTATTAAATCAGGCAAGATCATATACTCAAATCTAAATCTGTCTGGAATCAGGATGGCCTGGATGTGTTTGATTTGAATAGAAAATCAATAGAATGATATTTCTTGGTCTCCTATAGTTGAAAGCACTGAGCTACTGGGGTGCGTGTGTTTTTTTTTTTTGTTTTTAGTTGTTTTTTTACCTGGTCATAATCTGGTTTGTGGTGAGAAAGCTTCTCGTTGTGGGTGTTGGCTTTCTTCTCGGTTTCGGTTCCGCTCAGCTCAACGGGTTTCGCCTCTGTGCAAAGTTCGGAGTATTGGGAGCGGAAGTTCTCATATCCTCCTGAGAAAAAAAGGAGAACACATCAACACGTGCAATGCGCAATAATAACGGACTCTGTTACCACTCGCCCCCCCACTCACTCACACAGCATTCAGGGGGAAAAAACCCATTACTTTTAACCTAATACGTTGTTTGTTCTGGACCTCCATTAGGCCAACATCCTGAAGACGCAGAGGTGACAGACGGGAGTGAATGTGTTTTCAAGAAACCTTGACGTCAGCGAATTAACCGTATGCCGTATGAAATGGTCCCTTGATTGTTCATCTTCGTAAATTATTATAACTTACTATTTTTTACCAATGTAATAAAGTGGTTGCGCCACCAATTTCCCTTTGACTCTTTTCTTAGATTGACTCATCTCCCCGTTGACGCACACAAGATTTGTATCTTCACAAAAAGTGAGACAAAAATATAGACTGTGTTGTCAGCTCAGATCACAATGATGGTGGGGGAAATTAGCTCCGCTTTATATATATATATATATATGTGTGTGTGTGTGTGTGTATGTATAAAACCCGTGACACTATATTTAAAAAAAAGGTCAAATGAAATTAAAAACACATTGAACTAGTTTAACAATTCTGTGTTCACAATTCACGGAAACAAGAAAAAATTATGTATATTTTTGTTTTTGTAATTTCGTCATTTTCTTTACATCATATGAATAAAATTCGTTGTGTGTGTGTGATAATTAAATGGTTCATTAAAGATCATTACCTTTTAGAAAACAGATGTTGGCTCCGCTCCCTAGATGCGAGAGGGTGTTTATTACTATTTGTGCTACACTGTCCTTCTTCAGTTTTTGCCAGTGAGACGTCCGCTCGTCCAGAGCTACGATAGTCGAAATGCTTCCCTCCCGAAGCCGAAACAGTGCCTTTTCATCCGGTATAACAAACTGCAGGGGCACCGGTCCTCCGCGGGACCTTCGGACCACCATTGAGTTGAGGTTGGCATTCACGGAGCCTTGGATATTAGAGTTCGTGAACGAGAAAAATGGTCGGCAGTCCACAATAAGGCAGCTCCCACACTCCTTCCTGATGATTTTCCTCAGTCGCCGACAGTCTATGCTGGATACCTTCATGTCGACGCCTCGGGGTTGTTATTATTGCCTGAAGAATGTACGGTTAGTTACGGGCGACGGAGAAGCCCTGCGCGAGTCTGTGTCTACATTTCCTCTATGGGGATTCCGGTCCTTTGGTTTTAAATGAATGGGACCGCCGGCGCATGACGTCACGAACCAAATATGGACACCGACGAGGCGTAATCACCGAGTGAGTCTCCGCCCACATATATGACACAGAGATACCCCTCCCTGAACTAGATGAAGAAAAAAAAAAAAAAACACGTTACTGCCCGTTCGATTTAAGCATTACTCACGCCGTTTCCTGCACATACAGCAGGATGAGCTGAATGAACTTTAAACGGTAATGATACCACAGCCAACCGTTTCTCTGCTACTTAAATACTGACAATATAATTAACTCTATTGTTAAAGACGGGTGGTACTATTAAAATATACATGTACAATAAATTCATGAAATAATTGTTGTCCTTTTATAAAAATACATTATATTATGTAGTTATTTTCGGGCTTTTGCAACAACAACAAAAAAGATCAGCTAGGAAAAAATAAATTATGGTTTGGTTTAAGGATGCATTAATACCAATATTGGTATCAGACCATATTCTACATTTAAATACTCACACTCGTACTTGTACTCAAAAACATGTGCCTATACAATGACCCAGTATTCTGCTAACATCTTTTCACCACAACCAGCTGCTCACTGCGGTCAGACAGTGTTCTTTGTTTTCCTCCTCCAGGTCAGCGTCTCATTGCCCTCATGAGCAGTTAACTTAAGTAGGTCACGATGTCAGCAGCTTGGAGGAATTTCAACATCATGGACAACAACAGGAGCGAGACTGGCTGTAAGATTGTTAGGATACAAGAAATGTAATCAGACACCTAAACATGTGCCTTAGCTCTGATCACACTAATGTATTTTTTCATTTTAAAGGCAAAGCAGATATTTGAGGCGTTGACACTTCACCAGGTCATGTTTTTGGTGAGAATTATTTGACAGCATTTTTGTTGTTAATTTAATTTATTGAAGCATGAAACCACGCCACACAGTATAATCAACACTTTGTTTACCGATTGATAGGAGAAAGTGTTTAAATTGGTATGTGCTGTTAGTGTAAAAGCTCACTTTCTGTCCACCTGGCTGTATTTTGTACATTATTTTTACCCTTGGTTTTATTGATACATTGCCTAATGCAATGACAGACATGTAGCCTTTTCTAAACGGTAAGAAAATTAATTTGGCTGTGTTCAGTATTTTCCTGCTCGGTGTTCTCAGTGTGGTTCGAGCTCAAACAAGCGCTGGACTTCATGCTAATTCCCACAGAGATGTACCAGCTATATAACACTTCCACTTCTTAAGACCCAACCTAAAGTATTGGTTCTCAATAAATAGGATGATCGGGGGGTGGGTGTGGGGGTTTAAGAACATGACAAAGTCTGCTACTTGACTGCAAATGTGGAAATGATGACACACCTGAGAAGAGGAGTGAATAGTGAAGGGGACACAGCTTTGAAACACAGACACCAGTGGGTTTTCACCAGTTAAAACATACAATGGTGCACAGTTGGAAATAATGTTGGCTTGGTAGATTGACAGGTGTGGTGGGAGGTGGGCAGGTAGTTCGATTGTATCTCGATACTGACTACGCATTAGTGAGACAGACAGCAGCCTGACATATGGCCCAATCTAATCTGGGCTGGAGGCGTCATTAAGGACGTAGATCTACATCACTCTCCGCACGTTTAACATGTGTAAGTGTCAGGAATGAGGATCAACACCCAGGACCAGGGACAAGACTCATATCTCCTTGACAGTCTAGGGTTGCCAGAGAATCCTCCAGCCTGAGCGGGTTGAGGTGGAAAGTCTGGGTGTCTTCGCTAGATCCAGGATCCAAATCTAAGCCTTTATTGTTTATCCCATCTTGGCAGATGGCATTAGTCCAGCATGTGAGTGTGTTTGTCCACTTCCTGTGCAGAATGTTCCTTTTGTCCACATAGATTAAACAAAGCCCTCAAACACAATAGGCAGCCTTCACTGGGACACGTGTCCCTCGGCTCTCTGCTGCTCTCCGTTGCAGCAGCACAGGTGCTTCCTTGTTTGCTGACAGCGCCTTTTAGATGATGATGCTGTTAACCCAGAAATATTCATTCTCCCTCAGTATGGCACTGGGTAAAATAGAATGGAATTCCAACTTAAGCAATATCCAAAGAAAGAGTCTTTCTTCTGCAGAAATAGTTACATAGAGTTTGCTGGAATAACGTTCGCTGTTGAAGGCAATGGCTCCCACTGAACTGAAAAAGAAACAATGTGTTAAATGTCAAGATCAAATGGAGCACCAGATGTTGTTAAATCAGGGTTTTGGAGGCATGGGTTATATTTTAAATACTCTGCTAGCACATGACAGTAAAGTTTCTTTAAAAAACTTGCGCAGACTGTGGTTGGAGCCATAACAAATATCACCTCCTGTGCGTAACCACACACACACTCCAGTTGAATCCCATCCTCTGCAGCAGGGATGCCAAATTCACCACCAGGCAGAAATGATTGGTATTCCTGAGCTCAAACAGTGACGAGATGAACCAGATGACACACACTCACACACACACACACAGATTGAGTCATCCCTCTTTTCCACCCACAAGCACTCGGTGTCATGACTCTTAATCCTAACAAGACAAGAAGGGACGTGTGTGTGTGTGTGTGTGTGTGTGTGTGTGTTGATTAAGTATTCAATTCCCTAAGGATTGGATTTTTTCTTTTATTATCACTTTCCCTATCAATTTTCAAGACAGTCCTTCATTTTCCAGATGATATCTTAAAATTTGTTTTTTGACAGTTGACATTTCATGTTATTGTGTTTTATAGTGTTTTAGGTTTCCCGTGGGTATTCACAGTACGCTCAAAAAACAAACCGTTTATTTATTTATGCTTGTGTCATCATTTTCCAGCTAAATGCTGCCATGTGTGTTCTAACTTAATTTAATGATAATAAAAAAGGATTCCTGAGCACTGGATAAATGACAGCGCAACATGGGATATTGTGTTATTTATAAAAGAGTGTGTCACATGTGTCATTTGTCTTCCAGTAACACTTATTATCAACTTTCAAAATGATCTGTAAAACCAGCCCGACTGGAAGTCACCCATTTTACACATATTAATGTTTCTACATCTGTTTGGAAGCTCGTGTTAGAGTCAATGTGCCCTTTATACCTGCTGTTTTTCCAAAAATGGGTAAGTTATTTACTGTTATTTACTGCATAGATGGTGAAATACATCACCACAGAAGAACAATATAGTCATTTCCTGTTTCTGAGGCAAACAAACTGCTTCAGTCTTTTGGAATGAAACATGTAACAATGCTGGTGGTTGTTGTCAGTACGACGCTGACAAAGAAGTAGAAAAATCTATGAGGCATTTGGAGTAAACAGGGCTGGAGTTGGTGATCTGTCATATATCTATACATGTATGCACATATATACATCTATAGATATATATGTATACAGCCAATGCTATACTGAGTTTATATTTTCACAATTCTATTTTTCACAAATAATATTAAAAACCAAACTCTTCAGAGTCTGTTCAAGGCTCCAAATACTGCGGACTGAATCACAATCATCACCCTGCCCCCTGCTGGGATGATGTACCTGGATCCATCTCAGGCTATACTCAGTGTGTCACCAGACTGTATGAGGTAAGCACCATGACATTTACCTCCCTGACACGTCAGCCCACGTCTTCTTTCGGGTGACTCTAGTCGCTAACACACACTAATGTGTGATGTTTATGCTGAAGAATCACTGCATCAACTTAACCACTGCTACATTTCAAATCAGACAGACAGATGATGATCACAACAGATGTCTGTAAACATGACTAGTATTAAAATGTGACTCATCATCTCATCCATACGATGTTATATTGAATCAATCTAGAGACTTCAGATCAGAGTATTATTTTCCCGACTGATGTATCTCAATTAGATGCGTCAAAACTGTACAATACTTCACAACAGTATTGTTTGGGATTTACTACAGTCCAGTTGACTAGGCTCACTTGGTTCTTTAAAGAGAGAAAGACAAAGACACACAAAGACAAAGCACTCTTGTCATGTAGCACTCTCACTTTTGTGATGCTATTTTAAAAAATATTTACATTCATAATTTAGCATTAACAAATATGTAATAAATGAACCCATATGTTAGGATTTTAATGAACTGCTGAATTGTCATTGAGGTAAATCAGTCATGGTGCTATTGTTATAAACATTTTTACAAACCTACACAGTGGTCCATTGTTGACGGTCATTGGTTTTGACACTTTACCTCCTTACTATGCCATGGCTTAACAGAACCAGGGAAGTGACTCACACATTGTCTGCTTCCTCAAATAAGTGACACAGAAAGTGCACAATGTGGGAGGTTTGAGTTTCAGTTTCTTGTCTTGTGATTTCCCTTCAGATTGAACTCCACCTAAGTTAACTGTGAAGAGACACATTCCCATTTTGTTGAGGGCCGTAATCTTTTCTGTCCTTCCTTTCTTCCTCCCCCCTTTCCTTTCTTCTTTCCTTCCTTTTTTTTTGGACAAAAGTATCCCATTTAATTTTATCTGTACAACTCCTTTGCTTTGATCAGGAAGTCCTGATGTTGCTTGATAAGGCCGGTCTGTGGGGGAGTGGGCGGTTCTGAAGTAAAAGCGGAATAGGGGTGGTAATACTGATGAAGCCATAAAAATCAGTTCACATGACATTAAAAACTGTTAGTCATACGTGCCCCACACAGGAGGACATTTGACCTGATTTAAGGCCCGATGAAACCCAACAAGGAGATTTTTTGCCATTCTTATCAGAGTGTATGACAAAACTGGGTGAAAGGTTTAAATCCAACAGACCTTTGAAGACTGTTATATTTCTTATTAATATAATCAAACGAGTTAGAGAACAGTCACTGACAACAAGTCATCCATGACAATTGATTTCAAATTAGTGGGTTGGGCACATACAGTACATGGGCACAAAGCTTAAGGCAGTTGATCGTTGGTTTATCACTGCCTTGCTCATGCACCAATCCTCTCTCTGCTACAAAAATCTAATAAAAACAGAAGGAAACCAAAGTTGAACTTCAAAACAATATTGATAGAAAAATGTCCAAGAGTAAAATGAATGACTTTCGACCATTATTTTGTGACCTTTTTTATAGGCGGGTACTTGAACCCAGGTTGAAAAATAAATCTATTAAATCTTGTCCTCCAGACAGGAATGATCAATAACAAGTCTATCAGATATATTGATTAGAAAACTGGACCTGGACTGGAGTGTGTGAAACAGAGGATGTGACAACCCTGGGCATTTCCAGTGATCACTGCACCCCAGGAATGGGTCGATGGGTTCAATGTGGAGGACAAATTTAATTGTGTGTAAATGTGTGTGTATACGTACAGTAAAAAAAAGATTCTTCTTCTTCTGGTGAACAACTGTGTGGTTGAAAGACTGAATTCTAGGCCAGTGAAGTTGGTCTGAACTGAAATAAAAATGTCATTACAAAATACCATACTTAGTAATGATGACTAATGGCATTGAGAACATTCAAAGTTTTCTTTAATTATCGATGGAAACATACTTACACTCTTCATTTCTTGTTTTATAACCGATTCCAACCATTTACTTCCTTCTGGTTCTTTCTTCTTCTTTTCATCACAAGTTCTTCTGACGCACATTACAACGACATTCCTTGAGAGTCTAAATGCACTTTGTCGTCTGAGTCATCCAGTACTGTAGGTTGTCACTGTGCTAATGGTCACTGCTGCATCTCGACAGCAGTGACTGGTCGGAATAGTGGGAATGTTGCTGATTGGGACAGTTCCTTGTTTAGGTCCACCTGTGTGAGACACTGTTAATACCTCAGATTTTTAGTTAAAGCAACATGTTCATAAAAAGGTCAGGTCGAAGCGAGGCCTCTGACGTACACACCGGCTGCTTCACCTACTGCAGCTATTGACAAAGCATTTCACTGTGATTCCTGTCTTGATATGAGTGGAAGTGGGTTTATTCTAAGCCAGGTTATCTCTGCTCTGTGTGTGTGTTTCACTAATGCAATGGAGGCTCCATGGAGTCTGTTTATTAAGCAGGAGATCAATGCCTTGGAAATGACCCTTTCTACTTGAATTCAATCAGCGATGGATTTACAGCCTGTTATCTTGAAAAATCTGTGTCAGAGATTAAAGGGGACGAGACAAGCAGACGTCTCAGTGCGTAGAGGAGCCGGGCAGGGCTGGACATTAGCGAGGCATTTCCCCTCTGAGTGGAATCCAAGGGTGGACCTGAAAGGGCTGATTGACATCTTCGTCAGGAAACACAGGATCCTGAGAACATTGTGTTTTTTTCTACATCTCCTAACTGTATTGTGCACACCTCCAAAATCAGAAACTGAACTGAGCTGGAAATGAGACAGTGAAAATGCCAAGATGAAACTGACCTGACTATCAGAGCAGAATCCTATGTACACGTATGTTCCTCTGCTGCTGCTGTGGCTGCTGCTGATGCCACTGCAGTTGTTGAACATCGGGGGAGGTGGTGGGGGTACAGTATCCGGTTGCAGGTGTGGGTGTTGGGACCCAGCAGAGAGCGTTTCCTCTGCAGCTGCTGCAGGGTGATAGTAGTGGATACTGAGCTGAAGTCAACAGACAGCGCTCTGGCATAGGTGACTTTATTATCTGTGCACGACAGAACATGGTGCAGTGTGTAGGAGATGGCGCTGACAGTGAATGTGAGGAGGAAAGGGGATAGTGAGTTCATCCTTTGACCAGTCTCTCAAAGAACTCTCTCTTACGAACGTTCGCAAGAGAAAAAAATCTCTTGCGACCCACCTGAGGGTTGCGACCCAGTCTTTGGGAAACAAAGCATTAGTGAACAAACCAGCTGCTGAAGCTCAAACCCAAACAGTGTAATAGTATTATAGTACATTTTCTTTTGTTCTCTTACACACACTCACAAACACATTCACACCTTCACCTTCAGCCACCGAGCTTTGTCTGTGACTGTGGAGCTCCAGCATCACTGATGACTCACCTCCATGCTGCCACCGTGATGCATTTTGCATGACATGCCTGTGTGGGAATGATGCTGCCGACCATATAGGTTAGCAATTAGCGACTGAAGTCACTCTAACACTCCACAGCTATGATCGCTGAGTTTTGGGTGTGATTTTCGCGACAATGGGAAAAGCTCTGCGAGAAGGTGATGACACCGTGACAGTGTGCAAATATATGCAACGAAGAAGGTGACGGCAGATTCTTGTTAGTGTGATATTGCCATCCTGTTGGAGATACTAAAATTAAACCTAAAATGACAACTTGCATACCGTGTCCTGTCTGTGAGACATCTTTCTTGGATGCTGGGCAGAAATTTAAATTTAGATATTTTTAACAAGACAAATCTAACATAAAACAGCAGTTCAGTAAAACTATCCAGAAAAGTATGAGAATATCGGAGAGATGATACTGACCACAACACCAGGACGTACGTCCCTGTTCTGTAAAACAACCTTTGAATGTACAGGACAACAAACAGGATGCAACCTTGTGAAAACAAAGTGAGGAATCAGCATTTAACAACCTGCACTAAAAGGTCATCCAAACACGGCTGTGGGCAATGTTTGGCAACTGTAAAGAAATGGTTTCCTGTTGACTGCACAGGTTTCCTGTCCCTCTGAAAGTGATACATTGGTAAAACTTGTCACTATACTTCTGTCGGAGGATTTAAAGCTGGTGAGGCTTCTGTGCAAAGTCAGCGTAGTTAGTATAAAAATGTAAAAAATTAAATTTAAATCCAGAGTAGGGGTTTCTGTTTCCTAATGTTTAACTATTGTAGTGGTTCTCCAACTTTACCACCAGAAAACACTGATCTCTCTGAGTACCACCATGATGACCAACATACAGCTCAGAGGCCTTCACTGTTAGCTTCCACCACAGGAGAGATGTTTAGAAAGATGTTTATGTTTAAATGTTGTTTTAATTGTGCATGGTATGTTTCAGATTTATTCTATTGAAAATGTAAACGTAAAAATATTAATTATCCCCGCGTACCACTAGAGAGCGCTCACGTACCACTGGTGGTACACGTACCACAGTTTGAGAACCACAGAACTATTGTATTGCAAGACATTCCTCATGGTTGTGCTGTCAGTCAGAGGCGCTCAGTGATGTTGCGTTGTGTTTAATGTCACAGCCATATCAGTGTTGTGAAAGAAAATTGCTGGTATTTATTATTGTGTTTTCCTTTTCCTCGGGCCTACGAATCGTCTTCCCTGGCAGGTGATGTTGAGTACCTTTTATTTTTGTTTTATTTCAGATGTTTTTAGGAACCTTTAGTCTAACCTTGATTATTATTTTTAATAGTTGCTTCTATCTTTTTCTTATCAACCCTTTTTTCTTGTTGTTTTATCCTGCCTCGGTTCCTGCCTTGATTCTAATCCATCCCAGTTCTGTGTTTCATCCCGCAGTAGCCTATTCATATTATTGTTTGGTCATCCAAGTTGCTTTGATTCTGAAACAGAAGTATGTCTTAAGTGTAGAGTACAAACATCAGTCTGAACATGACCAGGTTTAGTCATACTGAAAGTACGTTCTGCACAAAAGCCTCAAGTGGGGGTGGAAAAACCTGTGTCATGTTTGGACATTATTGTTTTATATTCATAAGCGTCAATGTTTTTCTTGGATGATTCTTTGTTAGTAAGTGGTCCATGTAACCTTTTCTGCAGCCCTCACACCCTCAGGGCCCCTCGCTAACACATTCACAGCTACGATTCACTGAACTTTAACTTTAAAACACTGTTATTTCTAAAAAAAACAGATCATAAGAAAAAGGCAATACAATTAAAAATGAGTGAATATTCCATTTAAAAAAATATTCCATAAATTTGACCTGCTGTGACCCCATACCCCCAATAATACTGTGCCCCAATGGGAGTCCACCCCTCACTTTGAGAACCACTGCCTCAAATGCTAAATATGTTGATATCTTTAGCATGGATGTGCTGGTGGTATTTCAAAGTGGGATTATGTTGATCGTCTAAGTGGACAACAACAACAACAACAACAACGATCAGTAGATATTGTTTGTCTGTGGCCACGGGTGTCAACAGTGTGTTACTTTCACTTTAACGTAGTTAGTCTGCAAAGACAGTGCAGGTGTTTCCTGATCAGTGAGAAAATATGAAAAACCCAAAGTTCAAGGAAACCCAAGTCAGAAAGTGAGACAACCAGTGGAAATAACCCTCAGTTCCTCTCCATTCTAACTTCCCCTCTTTTTTTGATAGAGGTTTGCTCAAGGGAACTTCCCCGATCACGACCTTAAAATCGGGCCAGTCAGAGAGAGTAACTCCATTCTCTGATTTTTGTCACTGTAATGTCAATCTGACATTTGGGGATGTTAGCTCCAGGCACGGAGCTGGTAACTGCTGCTGAAGTCCAACCACAGACGGTCTCCTCACCTCAGCACAGCTACCGTTATGTTCTGTTTCTGTTTCATGAGTCATGTTCTGTCAGCTGTAAAGAACATGGTGGGTGGGACCAGCTATCTTCAGATAATCTCTGCTTTAAACAAGGACACTTCTAAAGAAATGAGCAGAAAATTAAAGTTAAAAAAAATCCTATTTTCACGAGAAACCTTTTACTTCACCCTGGAGGCAGGAAAGATGACTCCCTTCCCCGAGATTGGAGTGTTGCACAGACACAAGCCTGACTTGTATGAATCAGCCGTGACGGCTCCGTGCCGTTACAAGACTCCCACAATGTTTCCTTGCTTCACTTTCACAACACTGTTCTAATGTGTTTTTTGTCAATACTTTGACTCAAGAAACATCAGCCTCACAGGAGGGAGGCTTTATGAATGTCATACCTGATGATGTGATCAGTGTTAGCACACGGACACACACTGGTCTTTGATGACCACTCCTCTGCTCTCTCTCGGTGTGTATGTGTGTGTGTGTGTTGTCCTTCAGGTGACTCATCTACGTTTTGTGTGTGTGTTTTTTTACCTGATTTGTCACGTGTCACATGACACCACTGCTGAATCTGCGCTGGTCGCTGCTGTGTCAAGGCTGTTTTCTGTGGCGTCTCTTTCACTATCAGTAAACAGAGATGACAATGTCTTCCTCTCCAGTCATCACTCAGTTGAATCAGGTCTTTTGATCACGCCTAACCTCTTTTTGTGTCATTTGAAATATCAAGAATTGTACCTTAAAATTAAAGGAGATTTTACTAACTTATTTTCATTAGAATTTCATAGAATTTAGATTTTATATAACTTAGTTTCATCTCAACATAATGACAAGTTTGATTCCAACACTTTGTTTAAGCCTAGTAAGAAATGTAATGAATTTATTTAAATTCAAGTTAATTGGAAAAACAAAATCCTCCCTAAAACCCCATATAACAAATGGAGGAGCGTTTATACTGTCCTCCAGCCGTAAATCAACAACCGCAGGTGAGTCCCTCCAACCCAGCCCACGGAGCCCGGCCGCACCAGGCTGCTCTGGCCTGAAGTTGAAACAACAACAACGACTTGCCAAACAAAACGTCTGAAGTCACGGCGTGTCAGTTACACACCCTGACATTCCAGAGATTGTCATGTTATTTGGCAACAGCTGATTCACACTGAGCTACACTCCCTGCCTCACCTGTGCTCCAGGTCTCGGTCGTAGGAAGGCGGATACGTGTGGAACCAGAGGTTGTTTTGATTTTTACGACCTCTCCATCCAAGCTGTGGGTTAGTGTAACAAAACCCAAGGACGGAACTCCGCTCACAGTTCATACGAAAACTTCTGTTTTATTTGTGTTCAGATTTTGTGTGACCTTGTCACGTCCTTGTGTCTGTGGGCGGTTGGCTGAACAGGACTGGATCTCAGATCAATTCCTTGTGTCTGTGGGCGGTTGACTGAACAGGACTGGATCTCAGATCAATTTTAATGCATAAACTGCAAGTGTGTATGTATTACCTAATTATATGGTTTAGAGAAAGAATTAGAGTTTTTTTCGCGCAAAAAAGAATTGACATTGAACAGAAATGGGCTGAGAGGGAGAGGGATGACAGAACACGTGCATACACACGTGGGTGTGTTTCCTGCATCTCTGTCAAAAGACCAGCAGTGTGACACTTCAGTCTGTTTTTGAATGACGCACATCACAACAGGCAATGCTCTAATCATGACGAGTCTTTGTCCTCTACCCTCACACTGTCCTCAACATGAGGTGAAAAACACAAACTGCATTCTTTGGTCCATTAAGGTTGGACATCAATTTGGATTCACAATTTCAATCAAAGGTTAGCTACAGAATGTAGACCTACAAAGACTCAACAGGCTGGTCTGGATCTGGAGTCGGTTTGTGCCGTAAATGAGTCTTTAATCGTTATAAAAAATTAATTCTGGACTTTGTCCATTCATCTCTAGTTCAGTCGTTGCATTTAAAAAAAAACAGTAAATAAACTTAGAACCTGATTCCTGCAGCATCCACGACAAAAACAACAAAAATATCCACCATCAACCTCCTCCGTTGTGTCCTTCACTTTGCTCCATGCCCTCTAATCAGTGACATCAGTGTGGGATGTGGCTGTCAGCCGCACAGTACAGTGTATGGGCTGTCACAGTGTCACAGTTACAGCTGCTGTAAGGCGTCAACACGACGTGTTGCACAAGGTTCTTGTGTGTTCACACACCTCCGTCCTTGAACTAGAGATAAAGAAACATCAGTCCTGCCACCTGAGGCACCATACTCTCTATTTTGATCACGAGTGACTCATTTGATAAATAAATACAATATAATTACTTCAATTTATTTTTATTCCACTGTGTGTAAAGGTTTGAGTAGAGGAGTAACAGGAAGTACAGGGTTTGACATGACACCTCGAAACGAACTCCAACAGTGACACACAGGAGGAGAGAATGGGGGGTTGATCTAGAAGGATAGCTATTGTATGCTGAGGACTCTGATGACAGGGTGACCCACTGCCATCTGAGTCGTCATTAATAAGGCGTGACCCTCTCAGATGACCTTTGAAAAGACACAGCCTCCAAATCACAGTCATTTGGCAACAAAACCCTCTTCACGCTGTCCTCCAGGGCCTTTTATCACATCTAGCAAAACCTGCTGCCATGGTTGAAATCACGCTGTGTGTCAGAGAATCTTCTGATTGGCTTCCTGAGGAGAAGCTGACTTGGCCCTGACTAATAATTGGCCCCAGTGATGCTCTCAACCACTGCTCAGTAAAGCTGATGGTGTGAAGTAGACTCTAACTGAACTGTCCACTGAGCTGTCTGGGTTGGACTGTTATAAAACAGTCAAAAGACAGATGTCCTCTACTGAACTGCTTTGGACAAAATGACAAATAAGACCATGTTCTAATTACCTAATGACCTCACCTGACCTGTGACCTTTGTCCCCGTTGTGTACGACTGGACTACGATGACTCACCTCGTCACTTTGACGATGGTCTTTTGTGAACAAGCGTATGCACATAGTACTCTGTCTTGGTCTTCTACTGTCCTCCCAGATGCTGGGTATCAATTAAATGTGTCCCCTGCAGCATGTGATCCAGTTTCACTACTGCACTTAGTCATCATTGTACACACAATTGTACAAACCAACTAATGACCCTGACATGACCTTATTTCTTTTAACTTCTCTGCTGTGATGACAGTCAAACTGATTTGAATATAAGACATGATAATGTACAAAACACCAAACCCTCAAACTCCCACAGCTTTCAGGAACTGTTTCGACACGTGAATAGAAAGTGGACGAAATGAGTACTGAGATGTCACTTTGTTTGTCATGTTGGTTTTGTTCCTATGACACAGTGAGGGGTTTTCAGAAAACATCGTGAGTCTTGTCACAGAGGCGTGATTAAGATATGCGGCGATGAAAATCCATACTCTCAGTCTGACTCAGCCGCTGTCATTTCCTGTTGACCACACTGAGGGAACCACCAGGGCTCACGTGGATTAGACAGATCAGGGGCATGATAATCTGACAACGTGACTCTGTAGACCGGAGCGCCGTCATCGCCCTGCGTTATCGTGAGTGGATTTGAGGCTGTATGTGATATGAGGCGGTGTAAATTAATGTGTGTCAGGACTAACAGGTCATGTGATGTCAGGTGCTCTCTCTCTCTCTCTCTCTCTCTCCCTGTGCTGTTCTTTGTGTCCCTCCATCTCCGACTAACACAGCGGTGTCAAACTCATTTTCACCGGGGGCCACATCTTCAATACAGTACACCTTGAAGGGCCGGTTGTGAATGGAGGACTGTATAGATCAGGGGTCCCCAACCCATGGTCCGCAGCCCAGTATTAGACCATGGGCCACAGTGAAAAAATGTATTTAAGTTTTACTAATTTACTTAGTACTGGCCTTGAGTTTCCACATATTCTCTAACAGAAAGATTACAGTTTTTTAAAGATTGTTAATTGATAATTAGTTGAAAAATATTTTTATCAGTAATTCTTTTTTATCCATTACTAGACATTTCAGGCGATCCCAAATTGACTTCCAGGCGACCATATGTGGTGTCCTGACCCCAAGATTGAGAAACACGGCTGTCATGTGAAACAACATGCTGGTGTCATTCAGATCACATGGTGACTGTGGATGCTCTGAACAACAAGTACAGACTGACATACAGTTCGCAGAGGATGATATGACATGAGTGGACCAACTTCCTGTCTTACGCATTAACACCGGTGAGTCATTTCCCGCCTCTTTGTGTCGTTTCATTAACTCAACCGCGTTTATTTACCTGCCCGCCTGACTTTGAAGTGGCTCAAATGTTTCTGTTTGTTTCTCACATGTAGGAACATACGTGTGACGACACACACATGCACAGGTGTCGCCTTACCGTCACTGTAAGTCCAGTGAAGATGTATGTATCACTGGACACATTACTCAAAGAATAAATAAATACAGAGGTGTTCATCAAATACATATGACTTGGGGTTTTTTTTTCAGTGGTGGTGAAGTTTGTGGTCGCACACATCACCAGCCAAGCCCTGAAACTCAAATGAGTCAAAATCATGAGCGTGGGAGAAGAGCATGACATGAGGCATCACCAGAGCAGCTGCTTATGGCTGGCTCAGTCAGTTTTGTTACACCCTCTTCTGAGACGCACACACAAACACACCTAGTGTTTCTAAAGAGTATTTCATGGATCAGAGCTATATTTAAATTCTTTTTTTTAAAGATATTTATTTTGTTTTTGATTTCCTTATCTTATAAACAACCCACATATTTTTTATACCTTTAAAAAATACATTCAGTAGTAACAGGATAAATAAAATATTATTGTAAGACATCCCAAAAAATACAGACAGTTTTCCCTTTTTTTGCTAGTAAATAAAGGCAGTTGGCCAGGCATGCGCAAACTAAGGCCCGGGGGCCGGATGTGGCCCTTTTAGCTTTTTAATCTGGCCCGCCAAACTTTTCTAAATTATATAATTTATTTATACCATCATTAGACGTCTGCCTTTTACCTGCAACACCCACGTTTCCTCAATAGATGGCATAGAAAATGATAAAAGCATTTTAGCATTTTAGCCTTTATGCATGACTTTTTTTGAATTATCTTATTTCAATCAAACGCTTCATCTATCTGCCCCTGACCTGGCCCCCGTGTTCAAACTTAGAACAATTGTGGCCTGCAAGTCAAAAAGTTTGTCACTAAATCTAAAATAAGGAATATTTAAGCTTTGTAATAAACACTTTTTTTTTTACTTTTACAGCAGCCTGGACCTCTTTTTTATTACTGAATATCAAGCCTTATTTTTAAAGAATCTTCACTGTGTTTGAAGAAGGCATGTGGTGACATGGTAATAACAAAACCGGAAGCAAATTCATTTTTCCAGCTGAAAAAAAAATGCGGAGAAGAATGATGAGAAAACAGAGGCGTCAAAAGGTTAAAAAAAAAACCAATAAAACCCTTCATGTCATGTCTGCAGGATTCTCACTTCATTAGCGATCTCATTATTTCCAGCAGCTCCACAATTCAATTTTCAATGAGGTTCAGATGTGTTTTCTTTGATAACGCTGAAGCAGCTGTCACTTCCAATTTCTAATCAGAGCCGGCGAGACCTGTCTGACAGTTTCTGAATTACCTGGTGGATTACTGGAGACTGAGCCGCCACAATACCATTAACTCATCAGGAGTTTATTCAGAGCTGGAGGAAGACAAATATACCATCTATGTGATTTGTATATTCTGTGCTCACTACGTACAAACGTCTGTCAGTCTTCTCTCTCTGCTAAAAAGGAAATGAAGGCATGTAAAGGGCGTTGTCTTTTAAAGGCTTCTCTTTTTTATTGTGTCCATTCACTCCTCTACTGTCACACTAACCTCCATGAACCTTCTCAACACCGTCTGATCAACCCTCCACTTTTAGCTTCAGGCTCACGATGTTAACCTTGCATGCATTCACTAAGGCTATAAAAATATTTTTGTAACGATATGTAAACAACATCAATTTCAAGAGTACATTTTAAATGTTGTCTTTCAGCTAAATTTGATCTATTACAAAGATAACCTCCATTGTCTGTCACTCAGACACACACACACCCAAAAGTACTAAACACCTTCACTCCCATTGTGCCTCCTCCCAGTGATGTGAGGTATAATTGCTTGTTGTGAGCCTCCTCACCCTCCCCCTCCCCCTTCCCCTTCCCCGTCCCCTCCCCCCCCCTCCTCAATCAGCAGTGAAGGACGTCTGTGAGGAATTGCTTTCCTCCTTTGATAAGACTGCTGTGATGTCACAGGCCCAGACGACGTGGAGAGGATGACTCATCCATGTCACCAGAGGAAAAACACCCACCCACCCTCAGCATGTCCCCCCACACAGGGGGACCCCCCCCCTCACCGTTGTCCTTCATTTTAGCTCCTCATATTCACCCAACAGTTTTACGCCGTTGTACTTATCGCTGCAGTAACAACACCAAGATGTGGCCCAGAGTATGAGTCACAGCAGAGGCAGCCGACAGTCACATTTCCAATTCACAGCATGAGCTTCAGACGAATGCAGACACATCCCAATTAGGCAGCAGCAGTGTCAGCTCCACCTCTGTCATAATGACACCTGACGACTGAGACACTCACCCTGTGGAGTGGAGCAGTGTTCTCGACGAAGATCAACCTCTCCCAAAAATTCAGCACTAGTAACGGTTCTTCATTCACAGCAGAGAAGGACCTTCACTGAAAATAAACAAGTGGAAATGGAGAAGCTGTGAACGATCCCTGCAGAGCTCATCAACAGTCACACACAAAATATGGAGTCATTTCAACGTAAATCCAATGATGATGCAACAAGGATTATGTATGTAGACCGTGAATGAGCAGTTTATATATATATATATACAGTATGTACACATACACACATATTCATATCTATATACGCACACATATATACAGTATATATGTATATATATATATATATATATATATACACACATACACATACACACACACACCCAAATCAACACGCGTCAGAGTTTGGTAAATAAGAAAAGAAATGACACCCGAAACATTCACACCAACATCTTTTCAGAAAGGCATATCAAACTTAATATATATATAATATTCATAATATAGAGAAACATTTTCTGAACTGATAGCCATGAAGCTAGACGTTGACAGCAGCTTTCCTCTAGCCCCATTTTTTATTTCTTTCCTTCGATGTTGGTTACAGTATTTGCTAAGGGTAAATATTTGCGCGTGTATCAAAGCCAGGAGATGTGTGGCAGTGTAGTGTGACCAATTCTAGTCCTCTTCTGCCACCTTGTGGTTAATACAGGGTTATGTTGAGTTCGTGACGTAAAGCAGCTACTTTTGAAATATGATTTTTATTCAGATTGAGAGTTCACTTTCTACGCGTTTATATTTATAATCATTTGCTGAAAAAAATAGACCGTCCAAAGCTTAAATACAGCCACTCACTGAGAATCAGGTCGAAGATAAACAACAGGCAGGAATGTTTCAAACAAAACTCAGGAACAAGCAACAGGAAGCGACAGAAAGAAGAGCTCACAGAGATCACGAAGCCTGGAACAAACCAGGGACTAAGAAAACAGAGAAATACACGGCACTAACATGAAACAATGAAGTCCAACAACCTGAAGAAGTGATGGGCAGAGGTGTTTATACCCAGGACACCAGTGAGACTGATGACAGGACACAGGTGAGTGTGATGACACTGATGAACACAGCAGACAGACAGGAGAGCAGTGAGACAGACAGACCACACAGTAATAGAACTACAGACACAGCAAAGATTAAAAAAAAAAAGTTTTTTATAAAATTGTACACCCACATCTTCAATGCTATCTACTTCTGGTACTGGTTAATTTTGGTGTTTCATTACATGTTTTTTTCTCTCTCTCCATTATTATTATTATTATTATTATTATTATTATTATTATTATTTCTTCATTTTTTACATTTGACATTTTTCAGCTGAACGCCAGAAAAGATGACTGTTGTCAGTATTTGGCCTCTAGGTGGCAGCATTTTTCACGAATACAACAACAGAAGCAAGATGCACATTTTAAACAGTGGGCTTTTACACGATATAGGTCAGAGGCCTTCAACATGGATTCTGGGACCACTACAATTTCTTTAAATACACGTGAATATAAATAAAACATTTTGTATTAAATGGACAAATGAAGGCAGAGGACGCTCCAATCGCCGCGCACCCCCTCAGGCACTGCACTGTACGACGCACATGTTGAAAATAGCTACTAAAATATATGAATTATTTATAGAGCTTAGTATTACATGGAGTACAGCAAGGTTCTTTAACACAGGGAGCAGGTCAACTTAAATGTTTCCAGGCTGTGAGTGTTTTGACTGATAACCTTGTGTTTTGTAATTTCAGTTTCACTTTGTCCTGTTTTAAAATTGCCCTGTGTAGATTGGGTGTGACTTAGTGCTGCAGCTTTTATATGACACTGTTAAAGAGACGTACAGTCCTAATTTCCTGGTCAGATACATTTAAATAATAGCATAAAACTAAACTCACAATGTACATATTTACTCTGTGTGTAAACCAGGGCCTGTTTAGTTGAACAAAATACTGATATAGTCGAAAGAATTGAAGAAAGACAAAAATAAAAGATTTTCATCAACTGATACCACCTAGGGACAGAGTTTGTAATGACTCTGAATATCATTGTAGATCTGTACGACTGTAAAAATACTGTATGAGATGACTTGGCGGGCCACATTTGGCACACGAGCCATGTGTTTGACACATAAAATCGATGACCAAAGAACTTTATTTTATTTGACTAAACTAATGCTTTTATATTAACACTGTGAAACCCATACCAGGGAGGATTAACACTGGCCAGTCTTCACATACAGCTTTGCAGCCATTTTTCAAAAGCACTGACGCTCAGTGTGGTCTGATGCCAGCGTGGGCGGAGTTGTTGTGTTCTAACCCAGATTATCAGTAGAGCACAGAGAAGCATCGTCATGACCGCGGCGGTGGATGTGGTGTGACCCGGTGGTTTTTCTACAGCCCCTTTAGTTGCTCATGGTGGATATTACATGTGGTGGAAACTCACATGTTGTGTCAAGAAGGGGGGGGGGGAAAGGTTGGCAGGTGGAGCCAGAAACATCCCTCTGTGATCTGATCACACAAATATCATGTGATATTTGACACACACGTGTAAAGAACTGGAGTCTGATGCCCACAAATGTGAGCCAGTAATTGATAGAATAACGTGATTAAGGTGTGAAGCTGCACACACACACACACACACAGACCCACACACACAGCTGTGTGTGTGGGTCTGTGTTGGACTTCTACTGGGGTTACTGGGTTAACGTTTAAATGGAAGGAATGGATGTTTACCAGTAACAAAATATTCAGTTGATAGCAGAATTGTTTCTGTAGGTTCTATAACAAACCATGACACAGAAGAATATTAGAAAGAAATATAAAGAGAAATATAATAGAGAAAAATACAGCTGATAAAATGTTCTATATATTTCTGAATGTATTTTTTTATTTATTTGGGCAGACTAAAGTGCTTAGACCTTGAATAAATTCTACTTCCCTTCACTGCAGAGGCTGGGAACAAACCTGTATACATGAAGGAGTGTTAATGTCCTATTGAAAGACTGACCATGAAAATATTATTGGATGTAGATGAAACAATGAGACAAAATATGACATTGTAAAAAAAAAAAAAAAAAAAAGAGGCCAGCATCACATTCAACCTTAATAAAATCTTTGTGTTTTTAATTGGACACGTTGCATTTTCCACTTAAATGTCTAGGTTCATCGTCAGAGTACAAGTTTTACAAAGGATGGCCACAGGTTGAGAACAACAAGACTCCGGATGTGGGACGACTTGTCTGGCTCTGCAAAGTCATGGACCCGTTTGTTAACCACCAGCCTCCTGAGACGCAGACCCCAGNCCACTTTGCCAGACCGGTACATTCATGTCAAGCTGCAAAACTGCAACAACACTCCTGAAAAGTTAACACTAACCTGAACATCAGACAGGACTGCATGTCTAAACCTAACACAGAGGTAAAAATATAGCTTAGTCGTATTCATCTTATGAAGATATGGCATTGTTTGGATTCAGTGCCCTCGGCAGACACTCAGTAACCTGACCCCAGATCAGTGTGCACAGACCTAAGCATGTGTGTACGTTTAAATGTAGAATGATTAGCATTAATCAGGTGTTGTGATAGCGGGTGGTGGCGTTTTGAAGGACGGGTACAGAGTGAGGAGGTGGGGGAGTGGGGGGAGGGGCACTAAGATGTTCTGAGGCGTTTTTGGCATTTTATAATGTTGAGCACCAAACATGGCGTCTTTGTGGAAATTATAATTCTCCATCCACTGCTCGTGCATGGTCAACATTACACCCAGTTACCAGTAGGTGGCATTCAAAATGTAAAACATCTTTCCACTGAAACAATCCTATAAGAAAAGGAGCCTGACATTTATATTAGCTTCTTTATTGTGTGTGTGGGGTGGTTGGGGGGGCGGCGAGGGTGGGGTGGGGGGTGTGCCTCAGTTGTTACCAGTAAACTGCTGACCATCATAAACCCTGTCCAGAAAAACCCCACGCCCCACGACTGAGACTCTGGAAAAACCCTAAAATCACAGAGACCTGGATTACCAGCCTACACCAAGGAGTTAAATTTAGTTCCCTCAGAAAGACTGATGGTCCACAGGTGAAACACTAGGGGCAGTGTGGGGACCAAACACATGTCAAGTGTCAAAGTGAAATATAAGAGGAAACAAAAGAAACAAATGTACACAACAGGAAGAAAAAAAAAGATAGATGCCCCCGCCCTCTACTCCCACCCTCAGAAACAACAACCACAATACTGTGCAACAGTCTTAGCCACCATCGGTCTTTAACATAATATAACAGCCAAGGAGGTCCTCATTAAACCTGGAATGAAATATTAGGATGAGCCTGTGTTATCAATGGAATAAAAAGAGTCTGTAGGTGAAGTTTAACAGGAAGTCACATTAAATACTACACACTTTGAGTTTTTCCATTACCCAGTGAATATAATAAAAAGATTAAAACATAACATTCAGGATTTATCTCGGCCATGTTCTTGCACAGTACTGTAAGCCACACAATATAATTCTTAGAATAAGGAATGAGAAATAATTAGAATCAAATAAAATAAAACACAGGACCAAAATAATTTAGCTTTTCCCCAAAAGAGTTTGTGTTTGAGAAAATAAATATTAGAATGTTGGCATCTGTTTATCTTACAAACAGAAATGTAATATGGGAGCTGAAACTGACAAAACAATAATCATAAAAAAAAAAAAACAACAACTGTGTTTTGAAGTGCAATTCTGAATACCAGTGGAGCTGGGATGGAACATGACATCATAAAACCTGTGTTCCTCGACCCACGCTGCTGACCCCTCCATCTGTACATCGGACCACCCGTGGAATGCCGCATGCAGTTTGTCCCCTCTGATTGTAAATATTATCAACATCAACAGAAAGTCTAATAAATAAAAAGAGTCAGTGCCACACTGTCTCCTCCATCTCCAGCTGAAATTGCATTTTTCACAATGTTGTTCTAAAGATTACTTTCATTTCAACCCCCCTTACAAATATTTAAAAACATTTTCATCTGAAGAAAAAGGGGAAAATTGAACAGCGTTCCTGCCTCATCCAATGCCACTCTGCAGAGAACAGTTTCTCAATATATTGTTTTGAAAAAGCACAATAATCATCAGGTCAACAGCAACAGGGACAAAAAGTTCTACTCACACACTCTACCCTTCTGAATGGGTAGGTGAATTTATACCTATTCAAAGTTTGAATTTTAAAAAAGCCATTTTTATACACAAAACCAAAAAGGCTGCTTTTATTTTGGACAGTTGCATACAAGTGAAGGGAGGAGGGAAAAGACACAGGAGTTATTGCTTGTTACTGCTGGAGAGAGTATGGGAGAACAACGGTCTGATGCTGCTGTTTGACCTATTTTCACTGTCGCCGTTTTATTTTTTAATTTTTTTTAGCCTTTTTCAACTTCTTGGTTTGTGCCATTACTATGAACAGCTCTAAAGTAGGTAAGTGCAGGATGGCTCGCTGTAGCTGCTTGTTGAGGAAAAAAAAAAAGCTCAAATAAAAACACACACACAGAAAGTCACACTCCTTGAAACGCACTGAGCACCCACGATGGCAGCAATGTCTGATTTCTCCCATCAACTTCAGTGTGGATGGTTTCCTCTGCTGCTTGTTGGAAAAAGAAAAACACCAGAGACCCGCGTGGTTGGTCGTCTTTATGACCGATGTCCCCGCAGGTTTGGTTCACAATAGCACCAATTCACCAGTGTCTGGCATTTGCAGCATTCAGCAGAGGTAATGGGAAACAGAATTTGCAGGATGGAGAGGACAAAACTCAGGGCTGTTGTGATGTTGAAGAGGAGCTGCACGTGTGTTGATATGGCAAAAGTTCACCGACGGTGTTCGTCAAGTCTGGACCAGCGGTGCTCGGCGTGATCCTGGCCTACACCACGACATTTGGACGGGATTTACAGGTCATCACAACGACGGGAGAGTGAATTTAAGTGCATTTTGGTTCAAATTAGGGGCGAGTGATGATGAATCTTCAAAGGGGAGATAGATGATGTATGTGGATTTGAGGGGATGAATAAAATACAATTATATATTTTTATTTAAATTACAGCTTTTAAAAATAATGTTGACATAGATTTTTTTTTGTATCAAACAAGTCTCCCTTTAGAGCTGAATAGAAGATGACGTCTTCAGATCATTCCTCTGAGTTTGGTGACGTGGGAAAAGAAAAGGCAGGAAGGCGAGGAAGCGGAGATCACTGCTCAGCCATTGGCTGGAGGTCTGGTTGTTGTCTAAGGTGAGTGGGTCTGCGTGGGTGGGCATGGCTGGAGAGACAGATGGCATGGCAGGGCGGACGTGGCAGGGAGAAGGAGGCTCTAGGAGGAGAAGGCAAGTTTGACGCTGCAGGAGGAGTAGCCCTCGTCGCTGGCCATGCTCTGCAGGCTGCTGTGGTCGTCCAGGTCGCTGGTGCTGGCTGTGCTCACACTGTCCAGCTCTCCATGGGAGAACTCTGTGCTTTCCACATCCACCTCAATCTCCTCTGCAGACAGAGAAAAGAATGGAATGTAAATATAAGGCCTGACAAATAATGTGATACAGAGTGATACACGCTGTATATCCAATATTTCCACCATTTATTTACTTATCGTGGCTCAAATTCTCGATGAAAACTCTTTCCTTCAGGGTTTTGTGAAACAAAGCAGTTAGGGGTTCAATTACCATCTCCTCCCCCAACAACTTCACCTTCAGGTGTGAGGCCTGGTTTGCAGCTGACAAGCTGACTGACAGGATTGTCAAATGATTGTGAGACACAATTCACACAGCTGTCTGCTCTGATTTGTCTTTCTGTACCAACAATACACAGACAAAAAGAGTTTTTTTTAGTATCTTGATTAGAGTTGTACTCAAGATCCAGTGAAGATTTGAAGAAATATCTTTGAACGTGTTAACAATGAGGGACAGTAGGCGCTCAAAAAGACAGAGAGTCCTTACTTTGTCCTCGACCAATGGCATTTTGGGTTACATCACCATCTCTCATATTTTTATTAAAAAAGTGTTGTTCAATCATTCCGACATTAAAACGTTAAAACGAATTTAGCACAGGAACCAGTTTTGGTCACACGGTGCCATACGTGGGACACAGCTTTGTTTACGTTCCTCAGTACATTGGACTAAAGCGTCAACTCGTTGGACCAACAGTCCCAGTTGGACTCTGACCAGTTTGTTCTCCCTACACTGAGAGCAGCTGGAGGAGCTTATGGTGGTGTCACAGTTGCTAAATTAACACCCCCTGCCCACCTTGGTCGGAGTCGGAGCGGTCAGAACAGAGGGCAGAGCCCACACTGTCCATGCGTATCCTCTCCCCCTCTGCCAGGCTGCTCTGGGCTGCAGCACTGCTGCCCTCCCTCAGCAGCTCCAGCTGGCGTTGGAGGTGCCGCTGCTCACGCTCCAGAGACTCCAACTGGTATTGGCTCTTCCGGTCCACCTCTTCAAGTTTCTGCCAGGAGATAGAGAGAGAGAGAGAGAGTGTGTATGAGAGAGAGAGAGGGGAGTGCACAGATCAGGGCGAGAGTGGAGTATGGCTCCAAATGACAAAAAAGAAAGGCATATCAGACATAGACGTGAGACGGAAGAAAGGTGCAGGCAGAGACAGAGACACAAGACAGCCACGGAGCAGATAAGAGTTAGGAGAAGTGGGGGAACATCTGAGAGAGGAATGCAGAAGAGATCATGGAGATAGAGATTCTTTCATTTGGAATGGAAATTCCTTTTCTGTCAAAGTGTGTCAAACATTAAAGAAGCAGATTTTATTTATTTATTTTTACTTCTCAGATCTTTGCTCTGATAACTCTGTCTCCAAACCAGCGTCGTCATCACCTGTCCGTCTGAGACCAGGTGGATGTGATGACTCACTGCCTCCCTCTTCAAACTCCTCCACTGCAGATATTTGATTGATTTTTACCATATTCACACCATCAAACTATTTATATTATTATTGTAATTCTGTAAATAGATTTTTAGGACTTGATTTTATAACTACTCTGTAAATTTTTAGGACTTGATTTTATAACTACTGTATATCTATCTATATTTTTTATTTTAGCAACAATTAATTGTGAAACAAAAGTACATGTCGTGAACTTTTTCAATTTTGTTTTTCTGCAGACTGACATGTTTACTGACTGCGACACCACCAGGCTCCGTACTGAGGCTCTGCCAATACTTCACCTTTATGTGTGCTTTGGCTTTGTTGAGCAAGCCCAACGTGGTGTGGCGATTGCAGTCCGGTCCCAGTGGTATGAGGGCCTTCAACCGCTCCAGACAAAGCCGTAAGTGAGCTCGTCTGTAGAAAGAGGAGAGACGAAAAACAGAGAGAGGAACAGGATGATTAGACTCATCGCACCGAACACTGAGGATAGATTAAAGATAGATTAAAGAAAAAGGAAAAGAAAAAAAAACCTGTGCTTGTGATCTTGGGTTGTGCATTGGGATAGCTCAATACAACTTTTTTTGGGTGGGGTGGGGGGGCACAGATGTGAATAAAACCAGTTTGGGTTGGGGGGGCACAGATGTGAATAAAACCATTTCCTAGACTCTGTTTCCACTATATGCTCCATCATCCTGACAGTCACTTCTTCTATACAATCTATCCTGCTAATGGCCTCCAGTCAAGAGGTAAAGACAGATCATAATGGCAGTAATACAATCAGCGCTCCATTAGCAGGACCTGTCCTTCCAGCTAGCCTGAAGGGAGCAGCGGAGAGACATTAAGTCCGTGAACTCTTCGGAGCAACTTAGGCTAAGGAGCTGTCTCTGAAGATTCCATTTGGCTAGACTGCTCTCGCTACACTTCACGGCTCAAAGATGGGTGGAGACGTGGTAGCTCTGGCAGTGGGCGGGACCTTAAACTGTTACAGTGCACACACACACACACACACACACGTGGGGAGGGTATGTGCTAATTCTGTCTGCAGTGCTTAAAGTTTGGAAGTTGCACACACACTGGAGTTCAGACACACACACACACTTGAATGATGACAATCAGTCTGGCTCAGGTTGTTGGTCTTATCAGCTCTGGAGAACAGAGCCATCTTTTTTCACCTTATCTGTTTAAGTGTCTAACTGTCTGTGGCTCATCTGTTCCTCAGCATCAGCATTTAAATGTGGGCGCACACACACACACACACACACACACACACACACACACTACTCCACCTTAGAACAGTTGGTTACTTTGGCTGTGCACTCCTCTAAGTAATAACAGCTCCGTACACTTTTGTTTGACATTTAACTGTAAAGCTTTTTTTTTAAGTATGAAGGTCAAAAACATGTTTAACTAAAGTTTTGATGTCAGCAACTTGTCATGAATTCAATGCTGTTATTCAAGTTAAATAGGTCACATAACTGCTATGTTTCAACAAGGCTGAAACAGCAGTTAATTATTTACTGTTCCGCTGTAGCTGGGAAGCTGACACAATTAGAACTTCACAAACAAACCCTGCCTGTAAATGTGCTTTTTTACATTTTCATTTGTCGTCCACACTGCATGGTCCCCCACGTTTGTTCTATTGGTCACATCTCATCTTTTTTTTTTTTTTTTGCTCTACATGTAGAAAATGTCTGCCTGAGGAAGGAGGTTCCAGGGGCAGAGAGGGACACACCACACCGATCATGAATATGCCTGCACATCTGTCTGGCCTACCAGGCGTCAAGTTAACAACATCCAGACCCAGGAGACCACAGCGCCCCCACTCCCACACCCCCCCACTCCCATTCTGATCTCAGCAGACAACCTCAGATAACCTCCACTTTTACTCCTCCTGTTCTGCTACCACTACTGCACTCTCCCCACGCACACTGACGTGACACATGCATGTAGGACGCAGGAGGCGTCCCTCCGTGGACAACTCCCGGTGTCATATGTTTAATACTGTATGTGCTATTAATGTGCTATACTTATTCATATATAGACCACATGCTGCCCAAACAGCATTAATAGCGTCCAATTGTGGTTCGATGTTGTACAATTTTTTTTTTGTACAAGTGCAGGTGACTCACAAGTTCTGGTTTGTTGAATCACTTTTTTTGGCTCAAACTACAAACACACATTCCCACCTACGTAGCGATGATGTAGTGTAGGATGAGGAGGCTTCCACGCTCTCATCTGCTGCAGCATTTTAGATTCCTTTTTTTAGCTACACTGCTGCTTTTCTCACAGCGACATGCTATTGGTCGAGGAGACAATCATCACGCCCTCGCTGAGCCTCTTATCGATGGACGGACATACGAGACGCCTGCATGGCGTGTATCCTAATCTCTGGGTGCATGACGTGCTCAACTGTGGAACACACTGATAACTACAGAAAAAAAGCCCAAAAAGCGTGAGAGGGAGTGGCAGAAGAACATTGTGTACTATTGGACCCTCCACAGCTATCACAGCGGGTTATCTATAGACTAGGACTTTTTTATACACAGTATTCCAAATTTAGAGCCATTTAAATTATTGTATCATGAAAACTGTGTCACAAAGATGTCAAGAAGAAAGTTGTCAGTAATGACAGAAGCCAAACTCGACCACAAACATATGCCACCAAGGCTGCTTCTCCAACACTGAATGACTTGTTTGACATCCCGGCCCACAGTTAAACAGCTTACAGCACTCCCAGCTTACAATATAAGTGGTGGCTTATGACCATAAATACCTGCACGCAGCATTAAGAGCCTGCTCCATATTGTAGCCTCATAACATAACCGCTAACTGAGCCTCAACCTCCTCTTCTTCCTCCTCCTCCTCCTCCTCCTCCTCCTCCTCCTCCTCTCAGGTACCAAGAGAAAACTTGTTCTGGTTACATAAAAAACAAAGACTTGCAGTGCAGCAACAAAACTTGGAAAAAAGGAAATTATTACGTCACACTCTGCTGTGATTATACCTGGTTCAGAGTTGATCACGGTAAAACCTAAAGTGCAGAGAACTACATTACGACAAGTTGTATTTTTAGGTACATTTATTTGTTGGTCTTATCATTTTTTTTGTCATTGTTTCTCAGTGATATTTCATTCATCCGTAAGAGCATTAAGGCTAACACACACACACACACACTCACACACACAGCTCAGCCTTTCCACCCAGATAAAGTAACCAGCCTGTGTATGTGTATGTTTCATGCTTGCCCTGGGCCCCAGATGGATACACAGACAGGCAGCTCTGCTTTTGGCATTGACATGCGAAAGAACATCAAGTTTCGACCAGGGTCACTGCACTACACCTTTACTCCTCATCTTTTCAAATCTGACATCCCACGTCAAAGAGAGCCAGCTGCAGATACACACATGACTCGGACAACTCTTGTTTTCTAATGCATGGCTGGATTTAAAAACAAAACCTTACACTGCACTTTCCACTAAAAGAAAAGAAAAACTACTGCACACAGCAACTGTCAATTCTCCATCTTCTTTTTTTTGTCTTATGGCTAAAAATGCATCACACTGCCTAAAGGAGAGTCCAGCCTTACACCACTTCCTGTTGGTATGGAGGGAGTGTACACAACACTGTAGACAACACTACACAACACTACACAACACTGTACACAACACTGTAGACAACACTACACAACACTCCCACAGTATTCTGCTTTGTTCTGGTGAAGGCCTTTCAGGTAGCATGAGGGTGTGGCCCTTTGCTGTTTAAGCTCATGCTAACGGCTCAGATGAAAGAGTGCAGCTGCTCAGTGCTGCATTTCTTAGACAATGTTAACCCAATGGTTCCCAACGTTTTTTGGCTTTTGACATCACCAATTTTTGGCGACCGCAGAGGACTTTTGTTTTGTCACATGATCGCAGGCATCGATCAAAATGTGTCCACTCAGCTTCATGTTCATGTAAGGGAAAGATTACGATGTTCATGTTCATGTAAGGGAAAGATTACGATTGTGTGGTGTTCAAAAAGAATATGTAATAACATTTAACAAAACGCAGCCCAGGACGAGTAAAAATGTTAGTTTTTTGGGGGCAGAGGGGCAGAACATAGAACTACCCGACGTCTTTAAGCATCTGTAATGTCTGTGCAGTAGCAGGAAGAAACCGCCTCAGTTACTCTATAAGATTACACACTGTCTGTTGAACCACATGTTTTTAATTCATTACCAGCAATTTGGCACATTAACAGTCTACACACTATACAGTCTGTAGCTCAAGTCCTGGGATTATTTGCGATGTGAATCGCTACACTTGATGTGTCCTTTATCTACAAAGTTGAGTTTTGTAATCTTCAGTCTTCAGTACTGGGGCAAACAGATCTTCTGTGGGCTACGACCCCAAAGGCAGCAGGTTGGGAACAAAGTCAATGAAAATACATAGTGTATTTTCCTGTACGGGAATAAAGGGAACTGCAAAAGCAGCTGACAAAACAAGGGTTTCTGCTTTCTTTGGTTCAAGATTCTTTTGAGCCAACAGCATTAGTCTTAGATTTCTGCCCTAGATTCTCAACTTGTACATATGTAAATAATAGATCACTTCCCATGTCATTTATAATGTCTGACTTTATTACTCTACTCTTAAAGAGATGGTTCCAATTTTCAGCTACTCTGCGCTGGAAATTGTCACGCTGTTCCAAAACCATGTTATCTGACCCCTGATCCAGTTATTACGCTAATTACATGTCATAAATATTGTCTAACTGACAAGTAAGGAAATTAAGACATCATTACTACAAAGAGAACGTACAAAAGAAAAATACAGCTTTCAACTGCAGTGAAGTGTTCCATTGTTCTTCTGCCACGCTCCTGTTACAGTTCCTTTTACAGATAACAGATACAAGTCCTGATTAACACCACATCCGAGAATATTAGTTTAATCACTGTAATTTGTAAGAGTAGACCGAGCCGTGTGCAAGAGCTCGTAATTCTTTTTTTGGAATTTCTTGTCAGTTACTTCATTTTCCACACAATGATTTATCCAGTAAAAAACCAAAAGTAAAATAATGACTTGCCAGCTTCTAAACCACACATGCTTTGTTATTCAGAGAGCGGAGAAAAAGAGAATCAGTCAGATCTGCCACTTACTGATGGAGGAGGAAATCAGTCCAGATGTGTTTTTTTTTTAATACATCATGTCCACTTAAATTTCGTGTCCACGTGGATGATAACAATTTTGCAACATTCCAATATTACACAGTAGAACAGCACACGAAGCATGTGCTACACTGATCCAAACTGCAGATTCTGACATGGTAATAAATATATGTGATGTTTGATCAAGTGTTTGGCTTAAGGCAAACTGCAAAATATATGTTTCCCAAGATGCTGAGCTGTGAGTGAAAATACAGTAGCAGCCATAAAGTATGGTACAGTTAAATAAAAGCTGGCTTTATTTTACACGTTCTGGGATAATAAATAAAGCTGAAGAAGAGAAACGCTGGAAGCATTTGCGCCTTGTATATTACAAGACAACAACCGAGAACACAAGCACGCTCTGTATTTGCTCGCTACCTTTATTTACTGTCCTGCTGGGTTAAAAACATTTTTTCTTTTCAGCCAGCAGAAGACGTGGGTTGAGGGTCATTTTCACTCCGTCTCTGCTTTTCTCTTTTTCTTTTCACATGACTGCCATGGGTTTGGATTGAAGATCACATGTTCAAACACACAGAGAGTGGCACCTGACTGAATATTTTGTAACGGCCACTCTGAACTTTACTGTTAGATTGTTCTAGCATCATCCTCTGAAGCCTAATAAGAGAAACCCTGAAACCACAACTGCAACTTAGCACCTCCATGTTTCCTGACTTACTTGTTTTTCAAAAATAACTCTTTTATGAAACACATATGAGACAGATGTAGAGTTTCTGTGCAACGTAAAGAGGGCGAGAGACACAGAGAGCAGGGGAGGAAGGGTAGTGGAATCCTGTGTAATCTGCCCAGAAACTAGCCACAGGCACATGGAAAGCCAATCTGCCTAGAGTTTGACCGGCTTTAGCATCAGACGCAAAGGTTTTTCATCAGAGCTTCTGACTAACATGCTAAATTTAAACTCATCGACGGGATAAAAAAAAAAAAGCCCGTCTTCAACTCCTACAAGAACATCAATCTATGCATACGTGGTATCAATTGGAATACATAGATAGATAGATGTACTTTATTGATCCCAGGCTGGGAAATTACATCCTCTGAAGCTAAAAGATTTACACATGGATTTGTAGGTCAGAGATGACCAAATGTGAACGGTAGCCAATAGCTCTGTCCGATGAATAAAAAAAAAAACTTTAAGAGTAACAGTACCAAAGAAGCACCGACAAGTTAATAAAATACATTGAGTGAGGAATAATCTCCTACAGAAGACGAGCGATAAAATCAAAATACAAACGGCAAAAATAAAATCTAATGGTGAAATAACATTTAAAAAAAAATAGGAGACATCACAAATGAGTCAGTGAGTCAAATCACAAACCAAAAGTGTCAATATCACTGACACAGCACCAAGCAAAAAACGATTACCAAAGGTGAAGAAGAAGGATGGTGGATAGACTGGTGTTAAAAAGTGCATGTGACGATTACCAAAGTTGAAGAAGAAGGATGGTGGATAGACTGGAAAAAGTAGAAACAGAAGTGAGAGATAATGTCTCCTCTGTAGTGAATATAGTAGGAAGAAAGGGATTAAAGAGCAGCGCAGCAGTTTGCCCTACTACTATTCATCCACCCGGAGACGGGAACACGTGACCACATACACGAGAGCATGTGCAGCTTCGCTGTTGTAGGGGGGGTTGCTCACTGTATGGAAAAGCTAAGAGATTCTGATGGAGGTAAAACCAATCACTGACACACAAATTCCTGTAAATTATTTCAAAGCATCAGTTTTTTCTTTTTGAACTGACCCTGATTTTAAGTGAGGCAGAGAAGTGAAGGGAGGTTTGAAGTATGTTGATGGAATTACCAACAAGGATGGCTGCTGAAACAGAACTGTGTGGGGGAGGGTGTGAATGAAGTTAGTGGGACAGAGGTTGCGAGATGATCAGCAGAATGATGGGAGAGCACAAGCTGGGACACACTAGCACCGTGATTAAACTCTTTCACACACGCTCAGTTGGATTACAGTCCATACAATGAACAACATCGTGTGCTGTGTTTTCATTTTGTATCCAAACTAATGCAACTGCCACGACCAGTCCTGTACAAGGTAACATGTTTTGTTGTATCTTGGTTAGTAAATCAAATGACTTAGTTCTGTCAAAATACTGCACACATTCTCAAAAATAAAGTTAATATTTTCCTCTACGCCTCAGGCCTACACTCGCGGCTTGCTTTAATCCCTGGGTTTAAAGGATGGTACAGTTGCAACACTTTCCATTTGAATAGATCTGCATTGTGAGAATGCGTGAGACCAGAGTGAAACTAGACCTATTTGTACCACTCTCGGTATCAGTAGTTTCTGTAGTATCAATATTTCCTTCATTTCTGCGGATGAATGAATCAAAATTGAGCCTATCTGTAACCACCCTATCCTGGCCTCTTTCTATCTTCATTGGTGTCTTCTTCTGTGTGTTCTTTTTCTCTCTTATCTACTGACAATGATAGTTCAATGGATTTGATGATTAATAATCAATAATCAAATACTTCATTGTTTAATATGCTGGTAATGAAGACCGACAATGAGAAGCTTTCTGGACCTGCACCATCAGTGATGAAAGCTGAACTGAAATGTCATCGGTTCAAACACATTGAGGGAACAACAGAGCTGATTATGGTCTGTCTGTATTTTCTTAGGGTTAAATGTGTAATGCATGTCTCGCAGACTTTACTGTACTTTGACTTGGTAGTACAACTTGTGAACATCTCTGCAACAACCCAAGCATCAGCATCAAACACATTTAGGCAATGTG